ATCTGCTTCCTTCCTCTCAATGACAATGTTTTGCATTGCAGCACATGCCACAATTATGGGCTGCACTAGTGAAATATCTTGCCTTATTCCCAGTGCCAAAATAGGGAATCTTGCTTTCCAAGCACCGTATAATCTTTCCACTGTATTACGTGTTCTAATTTGCGATTCATTATACAAATCTTCCTCGGGTAAATAAAGGTTGCGAAGAGGTGTCAACAATGTTGGTCCTATTCGATATCCTGCATCGCCAAGCAGCACGCATTCAAAAACTCCCCTCTCTCCACCCGAGCCTTAATTACAGAGTTTCTGTATATTGTAGCATCGTGGCTTGATCCAGACCCCCGTGCAACTATATTTTGAATGCGCAAGTCTTGGTTTGCAATGGTTTGCACATTGAAGCTGAAGTAGCCTTTCCTGTATCGAAAAACATCAGCGTTGTGAACCAACAATTTTCTAATGAATATTATTTAATTTTAGTAATATCCACAAATATTTAAAGACAATCAAAATAAGGTTTGCAGTATTATTCATTCGATATTGAAATGACGATTGAATAAATAATATAGCAGCCTCACGTTGACAGTCTTTAATCCTTTTGGGGATACCACTAAAATTAAGTAACAATTGTAAGTAATCATTTAAATAATAATAATAAAAAAATTGGTCAAGCATTTTATTAACAAAAAACTGAAATGACATGGACTTACTTAAAATCAGGTTGACAACTAGTAAACCACTAATAAAAATATTAATTAAATAATAAGTAGACCAATGATAACTATTATTTAATAAGACAGTAATATTAAACCCGTCAAATTCAATAATATATAATTTCAATGCCTTACAGCCCAGGAGGTTACAACATAATCTTATTATTTCAAAAATTCAGAGAGAAAGCGAAGGAAAGGTTCTCCATCTACCTACAGAGGGAACATACTATAACTAGTTCCATTAATGATTTATTATATACATCCTCATACTTGTGTGTAACGTATTCCAGTTTATCCTCAATCTGTTGCAATATGAATAAAGCAGTTTGTTTCGTAATTCTTAAACGTGCGAAAAATTCGTCGCAGTCCCACTCTCCGAAATTATCCCGTCTGGTATTAACGAAATATACTAACAGAATTTCGTCTTCAGAATCAGTTTCTACATGTATTACATTCGCCATTTGACCTAACCATCAGTTAATTCAGTAACCCTTATTTCAACCTTCGATTAACTTAACTTTCCGGTCAACCTCCGGTTTGTCTTTAACCGACGCTCGTAATACGAATTTCGCCCGCTAACGTTCGGTTAACTCTAACTGGAACTTTAACTGACGGTGGTAATACAGAGCCTAAGAAATTCTGTATGTAAACGCAAGAGGGATAAAAAGAGTGTTCACCGCAGTTGACCTAACGAAAAACGAACGTCACTGTTTTCAGATCTCCAAAGCATTGCAGTGGTGCATCCAGCTGTAATGATGAGATCACTAATACTAATATATAGACACAAGGGCGTTGCGTTACAGCGAGATAATCTCTGAATGTACTCGACCAATATCAATGATATTCTTCGTTTGAAGTTCAGAAGTACTGTAGGCTATGATTTACAAGCACAAATCTTAATATATTTACAAAACATCTACTTTTCTGGCATTTTCCTCCTTGCATTGCATAAGATTCAAGAGTGTATCAACGTTCAATAGTTTAGCCGCGCACCACCAGAGCATGGCAGCAGATCTACTACTGAGTTCATCAATGCACAGAATTGCATATAGGAGAATACTGTTGTTTATTTTCACTGTCATTGTGTGAAATTATTCTGCGTTGTATTCCGCTTCATTAAATTAACTTGGATATTGATTATAATTGCGTATACTGTAGGTGTAAATGTATTAAGTAGTGGCGGCTGGTGCTTTTCTTGGGCAACATGCAAAAAAGATGGAGATATGTTCAATGCCGATGTAGGTCTACCGCGAGCTAGTTTTCTCGAAGAGCTAAACTTCTAAATTTCCCGGTTTTTACTTTCTCGCGCTTAGGAGAGACTTCCTAAGAAGAGAAAGTTATGTAATTCTGTGCCAAAATGGCGAATATTTTTAGCAGAAAAACTCTTATTACAGGGCCTTGGTTCGAAAAATTGGATAAATCCAGTTACTAAATTTAGAATAAAATATTGTAACACGTGGTGTGGCCAGAATCCACGTTTGTGGGTCCTTGATATCGAAAAGTCAATTTGTAACTTTAGAGTTTTGAGGGCAAAACATCTCTAGCCGTCCGTCTGTGATCAATGCTGGCGGCTAAAACATTCAGGCTATTATTTCTAAAATTGATTTTTCCCGATGTGGCTGATGTCGTGGCTCCCTTGAAAACGATATTTTAACTTTCAGGGGTACTTTACATGGAGCACTTGGGACATTTTCAAAATTAAAACTTCCTAGAACTAAAATATTAAAGAGATATTTTTACTTACAAAATTTGAAGAGGAAAATTTTGAACTTTTGAAATTTTCGAAAAATTAGGAATTTGTTTAACGATAATGAGATTATCACCATTATTTTAAACGTTCTTCATACCATTCATAAACGAAATTTAATAAAATACTATTGTGCGATTTTAATAAAATGTTCTAGATTTGTGTGAAGTACTCCCAAAATTAAAATATTGATTTGAAATTCAAGAGTCCACCACATCACCAAGACTATCAATTTTGAAGAAAATCGGTTGAATGATTTAGCCTCTAGCGATGCTCACAGAAGGTAGCACGGACGGGCAGATACGTTTAGCCGTTTATTTTAGGCCGGAGAAGCCTTCAAGGAGGAACAAGACTTGGGGGAGGGGGAGTGCACAGGAATGGTGAATTTTATATGGAATTTCTGCAAGAGCGTGTAGAGACGGATAGCCGAAGGATGGGGTACCGTAGGTCTGAGTGCGTACGATGCCCGGTGATATGAGGGCTTTTGCACCATATGAGCTTTAGCTGCTGATGCTTTCCCCCCATCACAATATCTCGCTTTTGGCTCAGGAATGTTTCGCAAACCTCGGTCAAGAGACATTCACTGCGACTCGTGCGGTGGGTGCCTGTGCTGATCCGTATACCGGCATTGCATAGGGTATTCAAGGGTCGATAGAGACGCCGACCCATAAACAATACACCCATAATCTAAGAACGAGTGATGGTCCTAAATAGGCGTAAGACACACTTCGTCTGTCCCCCATCTCTTCAGCTCTTTCGAGTTTTGAATACGCTTTCGCCGTGTTAAATCCTTGTCAAACGTCAAGCCTAGGAAAGTGGCGGTTTCAATGAAGTAGTTGACCCCCAAGAAAAACGTCAGGATTATGGAGGTGATTAATTTTTCAGAAGTGAATGTAACTGGATTTTGAGGAGATCTTGTATCCAGGGTTATCGCTCCATTCCTGTAGGTTGTTGAGGACATGCTGTAACTGCCTCTCAACTTGCATGCTCTTCGAGGAGCAGAATGTGGTAAAGACGTCAACTAAGAGCGAAACTTTCACAGGCTCTCGAATTGCTGATATACTATTGATAGCAATGACTGAGTGACACTCAGAATTGATCCCTGAGAAATGCCGTTTTTTGACTGGCAACATGGGAATAACCAAGGAATGTTCCCCAAAATACCTAAATAACGTATCCCTAGGTGCAAAGCATATCGTAGTACAAGGAGTAGTTGGGAAAGAAACAAGTCCCTCAACCGCTAGGACACACATTCCCTCCGGCACGGGTCACCATGCACGGCAAACATGGGTGGGCGTTCTGCATACAATGGGGCCAGTGAAATAAAAGGGGTACAAGAAAAGAGAAAGGGTGTTATCAGAGAGAGAATAAACGATTGGGTAAGATTAAGACTGGCGAAAGAAAGGAATAATTGAGAGCCCTCCCAGCATCGCCCCGTCAGGACGTGGTCCAACCCGCCTTGAAGTTAAATTTCGTTTAAATTCATTAATGAATTCTAGTTATTCGGAAATTTTTATACCAATTACTAAATTACTGCAACTGACAATTACAATACATTGTTGCAGTAAAAATGGATATTATACCATTGTATTTATCAAATCAAAACCTTATGTATTTTGAAATATATATTTACATACTTTACTTTTATATATTTACTTTACAAGGTATTTTAGCGAAGTATTTAAATTTATACTAAACTAAGAAATTTCTCAAGATGTAGTTGATAAGTTTTACTAAATTATGACTGGCCCATTGTGTCTCACAAAAAAATATGAAAAATTTGTAAAAAAACAAAATGTCAGTGTCAGTCATAACATTGTGTTTACATTAACTGTATATCAAATATTTCTTGCACTAAATCTTTTTCCTTGTATTATTTCTTACCATTTTTTGCATATTAATTCATTTAAGAAAGAGAAATCTCCAATAAACCTTTTAATTAATCTTGACACGTCTATGTAAAAATGCTTGTTTCTATTTAAATAAGTGGAAGAACCCAAAATGCATATATGCACATATAAAAAATTATGAATAAGACAATTTAATGTCTTAGGACGGTTTTTTCCAGTTTACTTTTTTGGAGATGAGGCGTTTCTGAAATGACTGATTCAATTGTTTTTACAATGACTCCGCTTTGTAACATTAGATAGCAGCCCCATTGAGGATTGTGGGTATTAATATCTCTAATGACAAAAGGTTGTAGAACTTGAAAAAGTACATTTACATGGCCTTCGTCTGGTGTTGCTTGACTGGGTAGGGTATAAATGTTGCAAACTGAGAAAGATGGAAATGGAAGGTTGACATGACCACACACGATTTGGAGACTGCATGGGATTGAGGACTGTAATTTCTTGATAAAAGAAATGGTCACGGCTTTTGTAAAAAAATTGACTTTTTAATTGCAGAATTACAATGGTTTCTCCTTACTACATACGTAGTAAACGAGAAAAAAGTTAAGGTTTCTAAAAAAATTAATCTAAATTTCATTTACATATATATTAGCTAACAACCACATTTCTTTTTAAAAGTATTCAAACTACTTCTAAATTTTTATTAAAATACAAATATATTTTATTTACAATAAAATAAATTTAAGACTCAAAAGGCTCTGAGCTCGTACAGTTATGGCAGGGAATATTGCTTTATTTGAACTGGTAACGGTCATGTACACGTAAATAATGTAAAAGTGTTGGAACTTTGTTTGACAATATGATTCAATGCCCCCCCCCCCCATGGTTGCTTGCATTTTATTGAAAAAACTAGTGGTACTACAGAATGGCACAGACATTCTCGTACTCGTTAGTTTCCTAACTTCTTTCGTCGCGGCTAGCTTTTGGGTCATGCCCAATCCTCGAGATAGCTGCCATCTAACGCCACCCAAACATTTTTTTAATATTTGCTTAATTTTTCAGTTTTCAAATGGCAGAAACGAAAAAAATACTTTAAGAATACTATAGAAGTCATATAAGGAAATTATCACTGAAAAATTTGGAACAGCTTTTACAAAAATGGTGCTTACGGCTAAATGTCCCGACACACTACAATTTGTAGCCACCACGTGGCAGCACCAAAATAAGTAAAATTTACTTTACCGATAACGTCTGAACTAATGGTCCGATTTTCGATCTGTAAATGGCATTTGACGCCTTTTCAAAATAGACTTTACGCCCAGAAGCTCTTTTCCCAAAAATATAGCAAAAACTCGAATTTTAAATTAGTTATCAAACTTCAGAGATAAAATTAAAAAATGTGGGCTTATAGCGCGATGGCGACATGCTTCCTGAGTCGAATACGCCGTGACAATAATGCAAATCGGACGAATAGGAGCGTCGTAAAGTGAAATTTGGGAAAACACCTCGCCCCCCCGCGTTGTCACATACTGGAAAGAATGAGCGGAGTATACGCACGAGCTCTTTTATCGCACAACTCGATTTTTTATCTCAAAACTGCTTCGTAGCGTAAATTCTATTTTAAAAAGGCGTCAAATGCCGTTTACAGATCGAAAATCGGACCACTGCCTCAAGACATTATCAGTAAAGTAAATTCCCCTGTGATAGTGCAGCGATCTATTGAATTTTCCTACAACTATTTTTCGATGCATTTAGCCTTAACGCTACTTCTTACTACTTTATACTCACATACTTCAGTTCATTTAGTACGTTTCGGAGTAGGATTCTGGTAAACATTCTAAGATCTGGACATTATATTTATGAAATTAGTTAGCCCCCCCATCTCCCATTCCCGGCACATCAAAATCGTATTTTGGCCTTAATATAACTAATTAGCAATTATATACAAATTAAACAACATGACAACACATGAAATTGAATATGGTGCTTCTTACTTAGAACCAGCACCTCATCTCGATCTAGGCCCATGGCCCGCTTCTGGTTTCAACAACAATCACAAAAATAGATGTGTTATGTGTAATATTGCTCCGTTTGGGGTTGTCGCTCTCATGAACGCGCATGTGGGCAACTAAATGCGATTTCCGGGAGAAGTTATTTCCGCAGACGGCACAGTGATGCGGCTTCTGGCGAGTGTGAACCAGCATGTGCCTATTCAAGTGATCACTTCTCCCGAAGCTCTTATCGCACACCGCGCAATGATACTGCTTCTCGTCCGTATGGATGCGCAAATGAACGTTTAGGGTGCCTTTTAACGCGAAGCTTTTATCGCACAAGTAACACTCGTAAGGCTTCTCGCCTGTGTGAGTGCGCATATGCTGCTTCAAGGCCGCTTTGTCCGGCCACGCCTTCTTACAAAAGGGGCAGCAGAGTCTGCTATTGGACTTTGCATTCACGAGTGTGAGGAGGTTTCCCTTCTTGGAGTAGCTCTGCTTGAAGAGGGTAAACTGGTGCGGCTGGTCCAAGACAAAGCACGAATGTTGACGAAGCAAGCGCTTGGAATCGAAGCTCTTCCCACAGGCGTTGCACTCGTACGATTTGATACTTAGGTGTGATAGCATGTGCGAATCCAATCGGCTTCTTTTTCTGTAACTCTTTGCACAGACGTTGCAACGGAAAGGTTCCTCTAGCTGCTCCGTGGGTTTGGATGAATTCATTTCCCGTGGGGTATGGGACTTGCAGCTGCTTCGCCGTGGCTGCCATGCATCGGACTTCCTGGCTCGGGTTCGTTCTTCGCCTGCTGACAGAAACAAATTTGTTACAAATAACTGATAATTGGTAACATCGGCCGCGTAAACAAAGGCAATTATTCCCGTAAGTTAAGTGCACTCCACCTAGGGAGTACATGACCTTGACGCTGGTGGTGGAGCTTGTGTGCCCAATGACCCTGAGAGCTATGCGGTCGGTAGCGTAGCTACTGGAAGGGCCACCCTTGCCGGAGAGGGGCCAGACGAAGAAGTACTCCAGAAGATGACCTCAACAACACCAGAAGAGGACCCACAGAAGAGGCAACCCCTCATGCGCATGATGGCAGGTGGAAAGGCCATAAGATAGCAACCCTATCACACCACAAACTTCGCGAGTGGCTGGTAACCTCTTCGGAGTTAAACTTATACTCGCAATCGTCGCAAGATAATGTCGGACAAAAAACAGACGACGGCCAACGCACGAAAAGGACAAAAATAAAGGAATTGCGGAAGAATTAAGGATAGCAACTTGGAATGTGAGAGGATTAGGGTCTAAGGAGATGGAACTGGAGAAAATTACGCTCGAGACAAAAATACAAATTGCCATCATCATAGAAACTAAGAAAAAATTGAAAGGGACAAAAGAATTGGACGAATACATAATGATTTATAGTGGTGTATGGCAAAATGAAAGGGCGCGGGCAGGAATAGCGATCCTTATTCATAAAAGCTGGAAATCAAGAATTGAAAGTTATAATTTTATCAATGAGAGAGTGATATCTTTAAGAGTTACGATTTCCAGAGGGCAAAAAGGAGGAAACAAGATCTATATAAGCTACTGCAGAAACATATTGACAAAACTAATAAAAACGATCATCTGATTGTAGGAGGAGACTAATGCGAGAGTAGGTAAAACACCTATACTGAGAATACTTGGGATATTTGGAGAAAATACCCTAAACAATAATGGAAACGAACTTATTGATTTTGCTAGCACAAACAGATTAAAGATCTCTAACACTTTTTTGAGAAAACGAGATGTAAATAAATATACATGCTGTGCTAGAGGATACAAAACAATAATTGATTATTTCCTAATAAATGAAAAATTAAAATGACAAATAAAAGATGTCCAAGTGTATCGGGGATGTGATATAGGCTCTGATCACTTAGTATTAATTAGCAAATTCAATCTCTGGAAAATCTGGAGGATTACAAAACGACAGAACAATTCAGAAAAAGTATACAAAGTACATCTTCTGCAAGAAGAGAGTCTAAAATTGCTGTATCAAACCAGACGGCAGAATTACTTATTAGAAACCCCAACTGAGAATGATTCGTATAGAAATAGAATGGAATAATGTGCAAAACTGCATTGAAAGGGCGGCAAGAGAAGCAATAGGCAGAAAGAAGAACATAAGAAGTAAAAAAGGTCTGCAAATTTGGAATAGTGAGATTGAAAACCTAGTAAGAAACAAACAAAAAGCTTATCTTCAGCACCTACAACAAAATACTGAAGAGAGTAAAGAAAGATACATGGAAAAGTGCAACCTATCAAAAAATTATATTTGACAAGCTCAACAAGCATGGGATACATTTATAAGCCAAATAGAAAGTGATATACACGGAAGACAGAATTTTGCTTATAAGATTCTTAAACAACTTAACACAGAAGAAAAAGATACAGCGAGAATAGATGTAATTGATAAGAGAGACTGAATTAAGCACTATAGAAATTTATAGTATAAAGAAAATAAAGCACAACATGAAACATGTGAAGTGGTATGCAGTGAAGTCTATCCCATAACAATAATTGAGACCCAAGAGTCTCTGAAAGAACTTAAAAGTAGGAAAGCAACTGGAACAGACAAGCTAAACGCAGAATTATTAAAATATGGTGGGATGATGCTCCAATGACAACTGCAACACATTGTACATGACTGTTGGCAAATTAATAACATACCAGAATCATGGAAAACTGCTAAAGTAATATCCATATTTAAAAAAGGAGATTGAAAAGATAGTAATAATTATAGAGGAATCAGTACCTTAAATGCAGTGTACAAGCTGAACGCTAAAATACTAAATAAAAGATCAAAATGTATCTCACAAATTCTCATTGGTGAAGAACAGAATGAGTTTAGAAAAGGGAGATCGACTACAGAGAACATATTTGCAACAAATAATAGAAAAAAGAAAGGAGTTCAACCAACAGACACATATAGCTTTCATAGATTTTGTAAAAGCCTTCGATGACATAGATAGGGTGAAACTTTGGTCTGTAATGAAAAATAATGGATATCCTCAAAAGTTAGTAGAAGCAATAAAGAGCTTGTATAAATATTCTACTACTGTTATAAAAGTAGGAACAAATGAAACTGACAAAATATTGATAAACAGAAGTACAGCAAGGCTGCCCAGTATCAAAGACACTTTTTAATATTTATATTGATGACATCCAAAATTGGAAGAAAATAATTTACAAAGGTATTAAGATATATATATATATATATATATATATATATATATATATATATATATATATATATATATAAAAATTTAAATATCTTACTTTACGCAGACAATGCTTTGATATTCCAGGAAATAGATGATTTACAATATGCATTATTCCACTTAAATCATTTATGTAAAAAATACGATGTTGAAATAGATAGATTTATTATTAAAGTTTGCTTTGAGCTAATGCTCGGTGGCATAACAATCAGAATTAGAATTACTAAACATTATCAACATTTACAATTGGGTTTACTATTACAATTAGGGGTCGATACAATAGTTCCAATTTATTTCTAGCTAATTCTAAATTCACTTCTAGTTCACATAACACTTCACTTCACATCACTTCACTGTATAAGGGCCATGACGATAATAATTATAACAACAACAAGAATAATAATAAACGTAATAGTAATATTAATAATAAAAGCAATAATATTAACACTAACACTAACACTACTACGACTACTACTACTACGACTACTACTACTACTACGACTACTACTACTACTACGACTACTACTACCACTACTGCTACAAATAATAAAGATAAATGTCTCAGTCAATATTATTCGAGATGATCTAGATGGAATGAAGCATATTTTTAAATTTGGCTACATTATAAGAGCCTCTAGTGCTTCTGCAGGTAGTTTATTCCAATCTACTATAGTGCGATTCACAAAGGAGAACTTGCCTACATCAGTTCTTTGCTTTCTACATCGTATTGTCCAAGGATTGTCTCTTCTGCTTTTATAATCTGATTTCTGTAATCTTTTATCGATATCTGCCCATGCTGTGTCCCCTCTGGATGTCTTATACATTACGCATAAACGCGCCCGTTCCCTTCTCTTAAATAAGGACTCCCATTCTTCTAGCCGTCACCAACGCACCCGTGATTTACAAACTTTGAGGTCCGTTTTGTATTTTATCTAACGCTTCGATTTACCCTTTTCTGTACGGGTCCCAGCATGCCGCTCCGTATTTGTGGCTTCCATCCAGCAAACAACTGATGATGGCTAAGCCATCGAAAGCTGATCTTATATTAAATACTATTGTTGGCAATGACAACGTCTATAATTATTTCCTAATTCATAACTGGAGCGTACGTTCGAGCGAGACTTGGTAAAGCAAATGAATATACTCTTTTCCGAATTTAATTCCATCTTATTTCTGCACGCCCAGTTCCATAAACAGTTAAGATCGCTCTGTAAAACATTTTCGCCCTCAGACGAGCCAATACTCCTATATATTATGCAATCGTCGGCGAAAAGTCTAACTTTTGATTTTAATCCAGTTGCAATGTCATTAATGAACGCTAAGAAAAGCAAAGGCCCTAACACACTCCCCTGGGGGACCCCCGAGGTTACATCGGCTTTCGATGAATATTTGTCTCCTGTTCTGTTTGAGTGCGCCCCGTAAGAAATTCTTTTACCCACAGGATTATTCGATGAGATATTCCCGTTTCTGACAATTTGGCAATTAAAAGGCCATGTGGAACAAGATCAAATGCACAATAAGTGCGACCGTAAGTATCTTCTGCCTTCCACTAGTTATGTCGGGAAGTGAACGAGGTATAACCTCACTTAATTTCATGCGCCATTTTCCTTGCGCCGTCACGAAACACGGCAACAAATAGTCCTAATGTAAACCGATCGGCAATATCTTGCCGGAAAGATTTTGCTCAGATCTTTCTGGCAATATATTGCCCCTCCTTGCTCTTGCTAATGTAAAGATGACCGCAAGAAGCAGAAACAAATTGAGGAAAGATATTGCGGAAACGTATTGCTAATGTAAGGCCAGCATAAGAAATTATCTAAGGAAAGAAACTAAGTTAACAGATGCAAGGAAAGTAACGAAACAAGAATAAAATAGAGATGGACAGGCCACATCATGAGAATGGATACACACAGGTGGACGCAAAGGGTATCAGTGTGGGACGCGAGGGCTGAGAGGAATAAGGTGGGACATCAAAAAATCTGTTGGAGCGATGAACTTCGATCAGGTGTCGGTAACCATTGGTCAAGAAGGGCGAGGAATAGAAGTGAGTACAAAGAAAACACTGACACTATAGTGAACAGAAAAAATGACAAACTACAAAGCGAACACTCAGACGGTGCAGTGACCTGTGATGAAAAAGATGTGAACTTCGAACTTTTAATAATTTTAGATAACTTTATGGGATTTAATTATTTCAACTATCCATTTAACTACGTATTATAGTGCTACCCAGCTAACGTGACAACTTTCGAAAAATGTTAGTGTCTGATGAAAACATCTCATTCTCGACTTACGGTAGTTTTGGCTTGACAAAAGCACTTGCCATCCTTCACACAATTACCCTGCATACATTACACTTACATGGTAGGGACATTTTTTTAAAACCGTATGGATTAGAAATGAAACATCACATGTCCACTATTAGCCTTTTTTCATTTTGTTGTACGAGAGAAATGAGAATGAAGATAAATGAGAAAGAGTTACAATCAAAAAGAGGCAAAAAAAATATTGTTAACTCACAGAAGCAGAATATGAATGTGAACTGAATTATTTGCATGTGGCGTGGTCATCTATTTCATGCAAATTTACCACTGCCACATAAACCAAAGCAAAACGTATTTTACTATAGGCAGCTGGGTGAATTGTCCGAGGCAGCGGTGTGAAGTCTGTTTAAACAATTATTGACAATCACAAAAAACAAAACAATCTACCCCACACAAAAATACCCCTAAAAGTACCCAACCAGTTACTTAACAGCTACATTAACAATTTTACAAAGGATGAAATTTCCAATTTAATATATTATAGTTTGGGTTGAGAATCATTTAGAATATTTAATTAGTTTGGAATTTTAGAATTTTATTAATCTATACAATGATAAATTTGTTTTGTAGTGTTTTATGTGAAGTACCAATATTGTAGTTTTTAAATCACATGCACACAAACATGTATTCTCTTTGAAATAACATAACTTTAATAGTGAAAATTACCATTTTCTTACCTGAACTTTTTTATAATCCCCCTAGTATTTTTGAGTTAAATTCTGAAAATTTTCTCATGTTCCACAATAAATAGTATTCAAAGATGAGTTATGGGTATAAGCAAGTGGCTATAGACCAGGCCGCGTATTTGACCGCACTAGATTCAAATGTGGCAGCTAAAACGAAATGGTATAAGTGCTATTTTCAGTCAAACTTGCACGTCAGCAAAAGTGTCTGTTTAACTGGTGTAATAAATATAATAACTCTAGAATGCATTCAGGAGTTACATGTAACCCCATCTCACTTTTCAAAAATGTACAACTTTTAAAATTTGAAGTTGACAACCATGAAACACTTTTCTCTAACAATGGGAAGTACGTTAAACTGCCATTTATTTGTTTCAGTTTTATATTGAAACTCATGGATATATTGTGCTCGGGGTAGCCATTAACCTGATGTGTGTATAACCAGTATGCTGACTACATTGTGTTGTTTGTGATGTCAAGGATGAAGATGAATGTAAATGATGCGAAATTTGAAGAGCAGGTTTATCGCTGGATTAGTGAAAGCAATGATTTTGAAACTGATTATACTGACTGAAGATGATGCTTCGATATGAAGTGAATACAGTAGGGTCATTTTGGAGAGCGAACTTTCAGATATCGACAATGCACCTGCATTGACTTCTGGTGTGTTAAAGGGGGGGAAAATGGATTTACTTGGACTTTGAGCGAACCCCAACAGACATGAACACCTCAAAGAAGTATTGTTCTAAGATTACCTGGTGGCAAGGGACCTGCAAAAAGTGTTTCATCAGAAATTTGAAAGCTGGAAAATTTTATTCACTGATAATATGATCTCAAAAATTTCCAAAAATACTAATGAAGAAATAGGACGGTAAAGGGAGAAGCACACTGATGCCAAAATATCCATGACTCTGATTCACATTAGATTTTGGCTCTAATTGGCCTATTACACATTTCTAGTTCCCGCAAAGACAGACATTTGTTTGATAAAACAGGTCCACTTATTTACCAGTTATCACAAGTGAAACTTGATTTAAGTTTTTGTTAAATTGCTTGCATTTTGATGGCAAAAGAGATAGAAATCGAGATGACAATTTCACTCCAATTTGTGAATTCTGGACACTTCAAATTGTAATACCAGCTATACACCAGACGAATTTTGGACCGTAGATGAACAGCTACTGAGATTTCGGGAACACTGCCCATTTAGAGTGTATATTAAATCAAAACCGGACATATGGTATCAAAATAGTAACAATGTGCGACACAAGGAGGTGGTGCAATTCCTTACATAGAAAAAAAAAAAAAAGAAACAGAGAAACAACAAAACCATTGCCAAATCAATATGTAAAAAAATTTACTGAACGCTTTTAATGGAACTAACAGGAACATCACTATGGATAATTGGTTCATGATGTTTCCATTGGCTCTAGATTCCATTAACTAATAATGGAAGAGTGCAATATCATTGGGCAACTTCATATATTTACAGTGGCATATGTATTGACTGTGTACATTACTGTCAATAACTCTTAAAAAATCAAAAAGTTATATTTATTAACGTAAGTGTCCCTATAACATGTATCACACCCCATTTTATTGAAGAAGAAATAGATATAAAGAGAAAGTTTGTCACTGGTGAGGACAGGCAAGTTACTGGGGACAATTTAGATTAATTTTGAATTTCTAATTTTTAAACAATCACTTACTTTTGAAAGATAATAAATAACTAAAACAGATAAATAAAAAGGATGAATTTGTATTAACATTAGTATCACAGGTCTGTTAGAAACAATTCATTCGGTCACATAAAAATTACCATGTAAATACTACTATATAAATTAATAATTTTAAATGATTGTGGTATTTATTTTTTCCAATATAAATCACTACTACCAGATGACACCATGAATAAATTGATAATACTACAGTCTCACAACCATTATTGACACAGAAGTCAGACAACATAACTTTTTATGTTTCTCATTTGCTCTCGACACATTTTAACATCTCTCACTTGTTTATAATAACTCTTATTTAGAGTTCACTGACTTATTCATTTACAGATGAAAATATGGTTTAATGTCAATGAAATCTAGACATACGTTATTGTGCTGTGAAGTTTTCAATTGCGCGAGGAGTGAATGACAACACAACAAAAGCGAGAGAGTTGATCAGAATGATAGTTTCATTAGTTGGCTATTCCAACAGGAAATGCTTTTAGCTGCCATATTGTGAATCTAGTGCGGCTTTGGCTATAGCCACTTGCTTATGCCCGTAACTCAACTTTCAATACAATTGATTGTGGAAACTGAGAAAAATCTAAAATTCAAAATTGCTCAAAAATACTAATATTTTTTGGGGAAAAACATAAAACAAACATGAAATGATTTAAATATCTAATATTATAAAAATTATTGCATTAAGAAAAATCTCAGCAAAAAATTTAGAAGATACTTTTGAGACAATTTTGAAAATCCCTACAGTGTTGTGTTAGACAAGTTTGATTTTGAAGGAAGGGAAATAAATATAAAAGGAAGAGTTATTAAGATTATTTTCCTTTGTTGAGTATGGTTATTATGAATTGTTTCTCCTGCTACAAGAATTTGGACATAGAACCCATCTGCATCTATGAGGCCATGTTGTCAAACTCACCACTCCTCGGCATTATCTTCTGCAATACCAACACTTTATGGGCAACTGATGCTTTCAAGAGGTTTTACGATAAATTAAACAAGCACCATCCTACTATTGTCTAGTTAAACTCAGATGGAATTTAACTAGAACTGTAACTTTTGGCTTTTTGTAACATTTCCAACTTTTGTAACTTTAAATGCTATTTGGCTTCTTGTAACTCATTAACCTTTGCTATTACTAAAATACCTTTAATGTATATCACACACAATATGTCACTTATGAATAATGTTAGCGATGATTCTGGCTACACCAGTTGTACTGTTGCCTATAAATACTTTAAATAAATAAATAATAAAGATAAATGATTTTTTGATTATATTCAAATGTGACCAAAGAAAATTAAGATTTATTTTATTCTTGAAAGATTACACAATACTCATTATATTATAAATGCATGCATAAAAAGTTAAATACAACAAAAATTCTCTACTTATTTGAAATTATAATAAAATAAAGAGTGCCGTTATATAAGTAATGGAATGGTACATGTAACACCAGTCAAAATGATAACTCAGGGAAAACACAGAAAATAAATTTGGATTACCAGCAGTCACCCTGAAAATGCATTAACGTGTAAGTGAATGATTGAGCAGCTCCAACCAAAGGCTTGTTGGTGGAGGAGATGCAGTTTTTTCCTGTTTGGACTAAATTCAGGCCTGTCATTTAGTTCAGTTGCTATTATTAGCTTGAACTCTACATTGACAATAAATTTTTTTTAATATTAGACATTTTACCATGTTTTCCCTGTATTTTTTTCTGGAATTGCAATACCCTGTGTTTTCCAGAAAGTGGTCATCGTGATTTTGTCACGTACCTGCTGAGCTTAGACCATCCTCCTTGGCCGCTTTAGTGAGAGATGATGTGAGAGCCTCCTGCAACACACAAGCAAAGGACTCTGTTGAGACTGAAAAAGCGAGTGATGGTACATAAAAGCAATATACAGTGGGTGGCCAAATTATTATACTCAAGACGAAAATTATAATTTTATAATTTAATATAAATATATTATTTTTGTAATTTTACTGTTTAATTGAAGTAGCATTTCACCTAATGACATATTTTCAAATATAAGTAGGTGTTTATCATCACTTTTGATGTTGGTAACACTGGCCAACATGCCATCTCTTCTGCGACCATTTTTACACAGTCTCTCACATTGTTACATGTGACACGCGACTGCTGATTGACGTTAGTTTTTAAAATTTTTGTTCTCTTTGGTAATGTTATCCACGTAATCGCATGTAGTTCAAGCAATAATTCTACAGAAAATGTAACTGACATTTACTCCACAATTTAAGGTATTATTTGATTCTGTAATGGCAAGAACTAACATAACCTAAAAAATATTGTTTCAGTGGTCATGGGTGAAAGTTTTGACCAATTTTTTGGTGTTTCACACCGAGGAAGAAAGAACGAATTGCCACATTCAATCATCATTATAAGTACACAAAAACAGAGAATGCTAATTTGGATAGAGTTTTTCAGTTAACAGCCTCAAATACTAATAGAAAGATTCATTCGGGTATCCCTTAGGAAGCAAAGAGTAGGAAATTGTGGTAGAGAAAAATAATTTCATCAACTGAACAGGAAATATGTCACTTTGCATAAGATAACCGTCAACAACCAGAAAAAATTGTGAACATGATTCTCAAAGATACTGGAGAGCATTAATTAGAGAACTCTAAGAACAAGGTTTGTAGAAATGGATCTCAAGTGCCGACGATCAATGATAAAACCCAAATTCATCTTGCAAAGATGAACAAGAGGTTAAATATTGCTAAAAAGTAGTGGAATTGGACTGAAGAAGATAGGAACAAAGCTTGTAGTGTGTTAAAAAAAAATAAAAACAGACTAGAATAAAAACTTCCAAACATTTGCTTCTCAGAAGAATCATCAATCCAGATCTTACAAAGCAAGACATCAGCCATTTGATGCAGACGTAATGAGAAGTACAATAATGACCACATTGGGGAATGAGTAAAAAATACTTTTTCTGTTATATTATGATCAGTGATTAGCCACCACAATACAGGAAGGCACTACTTTGTGCAAGGAACCATGCATCAGGCATCATGCATACATAAAGGTGCCCCAGGAAAATCTTCTTCCCCAAGTGAAAGAGGAGTTCCAAAACATCTTTGGTTCACGCACAATTTGGCTCAATGTCACAAAGCACTAAAAATAACTCAACAGCGGATATAAATTCAATAGAGTGTGTGAGAGGAATGAAAGAAATATCAAAGGATAAAATTATTAAAACTAAGAAAGAATTTGTCATGAAAATAACCAGGATTTGGAAAAATTCTACTGTATTGTCAGAAAAGGCCATAAAATACATAACAAGCATGCCAGTATGCATCAAAGCTTGCAAGAATACCCTAAGATTTATAAAATACTGAAGAATTAGTTTTTTTAAACTACATAATTTATTAAAGAGTTAGACCATCATTTTCTATTTTATTCCATCCTTAAATACACTACAAATATTACAAATAATAAAATCAGTCAACTCCTTTACGAATACACTTTCAAATAACCTAAAAAAACCCCACTTGATATAATAATTTGGCCACTGACTATCTTCAAAAAATTTACAAGATAAAAATGTTATTTACTTATTTATTGAAAGTATGAAGCAAAGTAATAATGTCCAAATTTCAACAGCTACCTACCTGAATTCATGAATTTAAAATTCACAACTTATAAATAATAATAATAATATGCAAAAACTTGACAGTAATGTTCTGGATAACAAAGCCCGCAGAATATAAAAAAAATCATTAATTTCAAGAGTAAAAAGTATTCAACTACCTCAAGTACAAATGTAGTATGAATAGTTAAAAGTAGATTTGATAATATTAGAATTGCCAGAGGTGTTTCTAGCATGGGGGATGTAGGGAACATTACTTCCCCCACCCTCTCCAAAATATTTTGAAGTTCATCCATTACCTTCATTCTAATTTTGTTTTTAAAATCAAGACACTTTAACAATAACAATGGTGATATTTATGAAGTTTTACTTAACTTTCAGACCAAAAAATGACAACAGAATACACAAAAATGATTTCTTGTTTTTCATTAATCAAAAAGTAAAAAATGCATAGTAAAGGAATATTAAGATTCTTCTGAAGTAGCAGACACACAGCAACCCCACTTTAGTTATGAGCATTGCTATCTTACTCATTGCCATTGGCTCAGAGGGAGTCTTCAGCCTTTTAAGTAAACTGTTAATAAAAAGCTTGATACCTACAATAAATAAATAAAAATGTGACTTGAACTATAATTAGTCTGAGGTATACAATTTCTTTGGTGTCCCTCTAAATTTTACTTTCCAGATATGCATGTCTTACTCAAAATTAATGTTTCAGAGATACACATCTTCATGCCGAGAAAAGATAGAAAAGTTTAGTGCAATATTGGTCTACAAATACTTAATTACTGTTATCAAACTTTCTAGTTCAGAGCTCTGGTCACATAGCAGAAAATATATTTAAAGTGACCTCCACCAATGTAACTTGTAGCACAGCTCTACAACAATTTTTGGATGTACTCGTGTGTTGTCTTCGTATTTTTTTGTTTTGCGTTTGAGGAAACTGAAGTTGACAATACAAACAACTAAAGGTGTACTTTGGTGACAGTAATGGAGGTATTAAAAGCAACAGAACACCTCCAGTGCTAGCTTTAAAATTAAAACCACAGGGAAAGAGAAACACTGAAAGACCAAGAAAGACGTTGAAACTAATGAGGTTGAAACCATAAATATGACTAATCGATAAAGGAAAGTAATGTAAATAAAATAAGTAAAGTAAATAAAATGTGATGGAGGAAAATAGGGTACGGAAGAAACTGGCCAATACAGCGTCAGGAAAGGAAAATTAGAAAAAATACACAAATCCATACCTGTGAAGATGAAATCCAAAAACATAATGGAAGAAAATTTTGGGGTGAGAATTATAGTTTTGAATAAATTAAAAATATGGTTTTGTATTACAGGTTAGTAGTTCATCAGAAACTACGAAACTAGAGAATGATGGAGAAACAGGCACTGTCATCCCATGAAGTCTACTTCTGCACTAACAATGTTTGCCGACAGATATTTTATCCGTCCGATAAAAGTACCTGATATTTATTTTGCGTTTCACCAAGGTCTTTCTTGTTGAAATTTCTGATATGTCTTTCTGATAAATAATCTGGCAGATTGCTCTTTCACCAGGGACAATGCAGCATTTTCGAGTCAAACACGCTCTGTACATGCGAATTTTAATGTGTTTTGCTAATAGAAGTGTGATGTGTTCTTTGCTTCATTCGTAGTTATTTTGTGTTGCAGCTTACTTCGTCACTATGTGCAAGTTCAGTGTAAAAGTTTGTTTTATTGTGTCAAACTTTGTGTAAGTGGGAGTTTCAAAATGGAAAGGAGAAAGAGGCGAGAAAGTAGTTAATTTTACACATGAGGAAACAAACTTGTATCCCTCGTTGCGGAGAGGAAAAATATTATTGAATGTAAAGTAAATGGTGCTACCATGTGGTAGGATAGCTATTGAAGAGGTTTTCAATATCTTGGTGGGGGTTGCTTTTTACGAAGGGAAAAATCTTTTAAAAAAATATGAAGCTCTGAAGAGAGATTAAGAAAACCTTTTTATAACTGTTCAAAATTTTTATTATTATTGTTGTTATTATTATTATTATTATTAATATATTTGAAAACAAAATTATAATGGAAACGATGCTTACTAAAAATGACTGACTCTAAAATCATAATTGGAGTAAGGCAAGGAAATCCGTTACAATTTTTGAGACGCTTATGGAGGATATCATTGAAAATGGATTCTTTACTTTCCATTGCCTATTTCTCATAAATTACTCAATATTGAGACTTTTCTCCGATGACCAGCCTATATATATATAATAAAAATAAATTTCTAAATACTATTCACTCCCTGAACAGAATTTTAGAGAGTATAATTTACAATTAAATTAAGAAAATAATAGAGCAAATTGACATAAACATCTCAAAAGAATGAAGTCCAGAACTTCGATTAAAATCCTACTGAGAGGAGTATGGGAAGTCCCATGAAACGAGAGTGGTCTATTTTAAATACTAACAACACTAAAACAAATTGTACAAAACTCCAAAGCTTAAGAAAGTTTAAACAGATAAAAATGTGAGAAAAAATATGATTGTCACTTGAATAATAATATTTATTCAAGTATTATTTTGCTTTTTAACAATCATTAAAATGTTTTTCTTCAAAACAATATATTTGTGGTATTTTTATTTTAGAAAGAATATTGTCATAAATATTTGTGAAAAGATTTGACTCAAACATGGTATTAATCCATTCTAATACCTTCTTAAAATCAAATCTCTTCACAAACATTTATGACAATGTTCTCGCAAAAATAAAATAGCCTGAAAATCTCTTTTTATAGTTTGTGAAACGTTCGAATTGCCTTTATAATTTGTTTCTCTTTATTTTTAGTTGGTCACATCAACAACTTAAAATTTTAAAGAGTTCCGCCCAACCGTGTAACCAACCATTCCAGTGAAAGTATCAAACTTCTCCTATCGTAATTTTTGCATTTGTAAAAACACTGACCTCATCGTTACAACAGTTAAAATCAAAGTACAAAATCGACATTAAAAGTACAAAATTAAGAAAAGGGGAGACAAAAGTCTTCGAAACGTCGTAGTAATACAAGTGAATAAAACTATTATTAGAAATTTTTTTTGACACATATCATTGTGGTTGACAATAATTTAAGAAAAAGGACTGAACAACAAATAAATAGAATTATATTGTGACAACCATTTTAAAACTTAATCTTAATAAACTACCATCTACCATTCAGTAAGCGTAAAAAAAATCTTACCTTTTTTTTCCAGTCACTCTCAGATAAACTTTCGAAATCCTCCATTAGTACTCTGTACAATTTTGTACAATCAAATGACTTCCGAAATAATATTTTGCAGAGTTTGTACTCATTCGCCCATCGAGCCAGCCAGGAGCCAGCAACGGTCACTGGTCACTCTCGTCACCAGCTCGTCACTCTTGCTCTCCACAGAGTATATATCGCTCTCCAAGAGCGCCAAATATACCAATACTCTTTGAAGAGCGCCAGGGCCGGTTCACCGGATGTGCCACAGAGAGTTTATGCCGGAGTTCACCGGATGTGCCATGTCATCATATACCCATTGTACTCTTTGCATATATTTACCAGCGACATCATACCACGCAGATCATGGATCATACGATGGCGGTGGCAGAGAGTATATTACGGTGGTTTGGGTTACGTTCTTTTACGTTTTTTTACGTTTACGTTCGTTGGAAGCTCTGTAGTAAAACACTTGTGTGAATACTCTCTGATTTGTTTAATCAATAATAATATTTTTATCTAGTGATTTTTTTAAAAATATTTCAGTTCCTAATAACTTGGACAGCTCTGATAATTATTAGTTAATGCGTACATTTGTTACTTATCGTTATACTTCCACTCCGCTAACCTCTCCGCGCGCCATTCGTGTGTACATTGCGAAATTCTCTTATAGTGGTACATGGCATAATAGTATATTTTCGTGTGTTCAATTGCTTTTATTTGTTGGTGTCTTTTATGTGATTAGCTTTACTTTCTATTTGTTCTAGTTTTCATATAAATACGATTAACTTCTCCAACTTCATGCTTCTGTAGAGAATTCAATAAAAGTGGCAGAGTTTCAATAATAGTGCAGATTAATTTAATTTGTAAATCGTTAGACTGCATTAGAGATACGAGTATCGAAATGACTTTTGAGGTAACAGGTGTAGAAGTAAACTCACTGAAACGTAAAAATCATAGGCATTTATAGATCCCCAAATTTTAATGTTAATGACTTCCTACTTAGGTTTGAAGAACTAAACTAAACCTAACTAAACTCTTAGGACACCACCATTGTAAGTTAATTATTTTGGGTGATCTGAACATTAATATTGAACATAATGAACAACATGATTTACTGAAGAGCTTCAATCTTCATGATGTGGAGTTAGAGCCAACATGTGTTACAACCCATTCCAGCTCCACCATAGACCACATCATTACAAACATTAAAATGAATAAATACCCTTCTCATAATATTGATTTACATTTATCTGATCACTCTGCACAAATCATTGAAATAATAAATTGCTTCCTTGAACTATCTAAATACACATTCACCTGTGACACAATTGTACTAAACTACATTTTCTGAATGAATGTCTCCCAAAGGAAGTATGGACTGAAGTACTCGATAGTAATGATATCAATGAGAAATGGAACTTGTTCTTTAGTACATTAAATCATTTGAACATTGCACGTCTTCCCATTATTAAGAGGCAAATTAAAGAAACCCAGTATTAAGCTTCCTTATGTAATTCTTGTTCTTAGAAATAAAATGAAAAACGTGTTTGTCATGATCTGAGATCCTAAAAATCACTTTAATAATGAGAAGTATAAACAATATGGGCTACAACTTATGAATGAGAAAACTTGTCAATTAAATCATAAAGGTAACTCAACAAACAAATCCAAAACATTGTGGAACAACATTGGGAAAACGCAGACTAACAAAAACCTAAACCATACATGAAGGCATGTTCCTTGATAATTCTTCTGATATTTGTAGGACCTTTAACTGTCATTTTTTAAATTCAAAGCAGGACACTGTAACCTGTAATAATAGTAATTCATCATCTGGACCTTCAAAATCACTGTTTCTAAATCACACAAATGCTACTGAAGTTAATCGACTGATAAATTCCCTCAAAAATAGTTGCTCATTGGGGAATGATGAAATGTCGGCTCTTCTCAATGTATTGGTTTACTTGATAAATTTATCAGTATTCACTTTCTCAGAATCCCTAAAAATTAATATTGTTGCTTGCAAATATAATAATAATAATAATAATAATAATAATAATAATAATAATAATAATAATAATAATAATAATGATAATGATAGGAATTACTGACCTATAACCCTAACTTTAGTATTTGGCAAACTCTATGAACAAGTCATTAACAAGACTTACTTGTTTTCTTGAATCTAATAATGTCACAATGTAATGGTTTCAGGGAGGGCTTCTCCACCACCACTGCTGTTGTGGAATTCATACATGAAATCATTGGAAATTTGGAATCAAATAGGAAAACAGCTGGTATGTTCATTGATCTTTCCATGGCATTTGATAGTGTATCTCATGGAAAAACTGTTGACAAAACTATATTATTATGGAATAAGGGGTGGAGTTAATGACCTCAAGTTAAAATTAAATTTTGATACAATTGCTAGAGGTGTTTCGCAAGGATCTATGCTTGGACCTTTGCTATTTTGAATGTAAGTTTATGATATTTCAAGCTCATCTGATTGCTCTGTAATTTCTTATGCAGATAATACAACGTTAATAAGCAGTGGGCAAAATCTTTGTCATCTAGGAAGTAATCTGACTAAATCAATAAAATCAATTAAGTCATTTGTCTATAAATGAAATGAATTATTGATTAAACTGTAGTAATCAATTTCAATTTCATCACAGTTATCAACACTAAAACATTAAAGTGGAAGTAGACAATGAATCAGTGAATCAATCTAATTGCCGTAAGTTTTTGGGAATATTCATAGATCAAACTTATAACAAACACATTGACACACTTTGTAATAAAATAATCTCCAATATATTCCTCTTGAGATACCAGATACCTGGTACCTTGTTTTCCAGATACCTGGAAACAGATGCACTTCTTTCAGTTTATTATGGGATTATCTTTCCCGAACTTCAATATGGTATTGAAATATAGGGAGGTACAACACAAAAACATATGGATAGATTAATGGTCCTACAAAAGAAATGTATGAGAAGCATTATCAAACTGAATTCGAGATAGTCCTGTGAAGATTTCTTTATTAAATAAGTATTACTACTTTTGAGAAATAATCAGAATCATTATCTTGTGGGAAATAAAGAGGTACATAACTACCATACTTGTGGGCATAGGGACTATCACAGGATATACACTAGCAAGTCTTGACCTTTCTGCAATACTACACAGATTTTTAATAAACTCCCAGTTACCATAAAATCAGCTGTAATATATACTTCAAAACATTGCTTAAACATTATTAGTGTGTGTCTATATAAGATATATGAATTGCTTTAAATTCTCCGGAATTGAAAACCATATACTGCTACAAGAGTGACCACTCTGTACCAATCTTTCAGTTCAATTAAACAATGCACTAATTTGTAATATAATTTTATGTCAGGATATTCTAAGCACTTACAATTATAAAAATCTAAGGTATTTAGGTTATTGAAGTAAATTAATCAACTACTGTACGATTACTCACTTTAATTGTAAGTTAGTTACATAATTTGTTATATCATAATTTGCTAATGTAATGTATTTTTAATGTAATGTTGTGTTAATATTATTTTTAATTTGGTAATGAGACTTGTAAAATGATAATTATTTTAATGTTTATTATGACCACTTGCATGCTTTGTTAATAATGTAATTTATTAAGTAAACTTTTTAATTATTACTGTATTTTATGTAAATGAATTTAAAACGTGTTATAACTCAAATTAGTTTAATTGTTCATATTAATCAATTTCATATGTTTTAACATATAATTTATCAAGATAATGTAAGTTTATTAAATTATTACTGTATGTGAATGTTATTAAATAATGTAACTAACTTGTCATTTTAAATAATTTCTAGACTTTGCTTGATATTTTCAGTAAGTCTACCAGCAATAAAATATTATTATTACCACACAGAGAGGTATAGTGTAATTTATTTAGTCATGCGCATGGCGTAAATTAGCTGTTATGGTTTCATCCAGTCCGGAGCGTATGTCACTAGAGTGACGACTCTATGGGGACGTTCAAGCAACCAATTGGATGAAACCATGAACAGCTGATTTACGTCTAGTGCATGGTTAAATAAATCCTAGTATACACACATACAATTCAGTCCCATAGAAAACCCCCAAGTACTTAGTTTAATTTCACATACCGTTGGAGATTCTGCATGCCTCTGTACTGAGAATCAAGAAGCGCTCAACCAGCAATAATGTAATAGAATGTCCAAAAATGAACTCATCCTGTAGATTATGGTGTGATGAATATTTATTTGAGGCCTTTGGCCTCAATATTTGGGGTTGTAAAGCTATAGAATGCTTTGTTTTGGAGTTATGTTACTAGGTAGATTTTAAGAGCGCGGCCCGAGTGTTGTGAGGTGCATTCCACGGCACGGCTCCATGAAATTCTTTCAGTGGAGACTCCATTTATAAAGTTTGGTATAAAGTGCATGTGAGCCGAAAACTCATCTATTCTCTTGAAATAATATAGAAGAGAATGGGGATAGACATGTAGAGTAGTTCAGTAAGATCAAATTTTAATAAGCTGGTAAAATTTTTGAATGTGTAATGATTTTATTAAATATAATGAACTATCATTGTTTTATTGATTTGTATGTATAATATCCAGTTCCCAAGTATCCCCACTTTTTCTTCACTCGTTAGTTTAATTGAATTACTTGAATTATTTTTGAAAAAACTTTTGGTTAGTAAAAATTTATTTAAAAAAGAAAAAGTATATTTTTCATTATGTTAATCATTCCTTTGTTTTAAGAAAATAAAATGTGTTTTCATTGATTTCATATTAATGATTATTTTAACTGTTAGTGTTAATTACAATGCTATCTATTTTTAATTTATTATTCTTTTTCTCAATTTAAATTATTTATTTATTTAATGTATTGATTTTATGTCACTTTACTATAATTCTAATTTATCTTCTTGATGAATGATCCTGGCTTTGCCTATGTGCTAGTGGTTTTGCTAGAGAGAGAGCTCTGCAAAGTATCACTCACGCTAGTATCATAGTTTGTAAGCTTTTTTCTCTCTATTTAATAGAGCTCTATATATTACTGGGGATGGCACTCTATCCCTATTAATTGTTCATTCTGAGTTAGTAGCAATATGGGCAGATTACATCAATAAAAAACTGCTTCTGTTGCATGACTAGCAAATCACTGGCTATGACATCATATGACCAAAGCATCAAGCACGAAAGAATACTTAAACATTTAATATTGGTTTTCATCCTGTTGGAATGGTTTTCTAGTGGAGGGAGTAAGATAATAGGTACAATAATAAAGAAAAAAAATCAGCTAGTACATCTAAATAATATAATTCATTCCTAGGTACAACTAATTTTGAACCAATAATGTTGCAAATGCTAATAATTATATCTTAAAGATTTAAAACATTTCTTGCAGAAAGAATTCAATACTCATGCTGGATATTTCTTTTTCTGGATATAAATTAAATCAACATCCTTCTCACATTCTTATTTTAAATATTTACCAATCACAGATAATTCAAGTTCAGTAAGACTTCCATAAATTAGAAACACTTTACATACATTTTCTTTTCTTTCATACTACTTATATGATTTAACATATGTGCAGTATTATTTTTTACAAATGTTATAAAAATTATTTCAGTCATATAATATTTATTTTACATGGAACAGAACAGAATGGCTTTAAGAACCTTAAGTCTCAGACTCATGAGGAATTTAAAGAAATATACAGTTCTAATACTTCTATTTTAATTGTCAATGTTTTTTTATACTAAGTACATTTTCACTTACAGAAATGTATTTGTTAACATTTTGAATAAAAGAAAAAAAATCTTCATTGTGACATAAATTTACTCAAAACATCAAACTGAAAATTATACTCATTCAAATATTTTCCAAAATATTTTAAGAGACATTTGTTTCTTTGCCATTCTGTCATTTTTTGCTTATGATTTATGTTTGAACATAACCTCTTCATAACATAATTCAATATGTCAGGCTATAGACAAAAGATAATAATTTTTTGATTTTACATAATCATTTCTATACATAATATTCGCACCAAGAAATTTACAAAAGAATAGATAAACAAGACCTCCAAACCTGACTACAATTTCAAATGGTAACTCATTATTTATTTATTAATAATAAAAATAACAGGAAAATATATTTATATGAAAGATACATATACCACATTAAAATTTATATTTTTAATTTTTCAAAATTAAAAATCGTGTACATTCTCTTTCTTTCAAAATTGTCTCGTAGCACCGCAATAAAAGCACCTATAACTTCTAGTTTGTAAAAGGCCAGAGGTTAGGAATGACTAGGAATGACAAAAACAAAACTCAATAACTGCATATCACATCTCTGGTTTAACAAAGCCAAAACTTTCATATTTTTTTATAAAACCAAAACAAAATTACAGCATTTAATAAGGATAATTAATTTATAAGTGAGGCCCTTTATTAATAACAAAAAATTTAGGTACAAATTATTAAGTAAATTCAATTTCATTGTTTAAAAATATGTACATGATCTAATTTAAAATAAATAATAATAAAACTTTCCAAAAATATCACAAAAACTCAGTTTGGCAATATATTTTTGGCATATAACCAGATCATTCCTATATCCCATAAAAATTTAATTTATGTACAATCTTAAAGTTTACTATGAATATACATTATGTTCAAAATTTACAAATATCCCAAAACAAGCAAAGAAAATATCTTACATTACTGTAGCATGTATGAAGAGGTTATGCAATTTGCAAAATTGATACACAAATTCACATTCCACAAATTGCTTTCAGTCAATATTAACAACCCTTTCCAATGTGTAGTCTTATTGTATGGTTTCCAATATTTCTTACTAAATCTTCAAAATAGTTTTCTTCAAATTAATGGATGGCACTTTCTATTCAATCACCAACATTTTTGGGTCTACTACTAAAAACAAATTTCACTGAGGAAACTAGGTTTTTCAATGAAAGTTTTGTTCTTTCTCAATTTAACAGTGTATGCACCCAACTCAAATCACCAATGGAAAATGCACAAATTGTTATGTAAAAGACAGAATTTTTGAAAGATCTGATTAGCTTGTGACACTTGTCAAGTTGGAGTTTACAACAAAAGTTTCCAATAACAAAGTGAAGTATAGTTATAGAAAGCTCATATCTGTTATAAAGGGATAATTTTAAAATATATCTCTCTTTCATAAATAATATTTACAGTAAATTTAAAAAAAAGTTCAGGGTATTCTATATAAAATCTATAATGGATTAACATCCACACTCACAAGTAACCCATTTTTTCTGAACAAAAAATTTCTATCTTCTAAGGCCAATCTTCCATAATCAAATATTTTTTTAAAATGAAAACAAACATACAATTGACATGGAGAGCAAGAAACATCACTAAGATTATTGCATGCGCCAGAAAAAGAAGTGTATTTGTCCACACTTTTCATTCCACATCCATAAATCCGTGCATCATTGTAAACCAATGACTTTTGTTGAATAATCAGGGGTAATTTTTGTTGATAAACATACAGTCCATGAACAGCAATAAATCTGATATTAATTTCACAAAAAGCATTACAAGCTGATGACATGTCAATAAGACACTGCACAATATATAAAATAATTCATGAAACATTACATATACACAATGATCATCTACTAACAGCTAAAATAAATCAACATATTATGTAATTACACAATGAAGTACAGGACAAGGCAGAAGATCACTAAACCTGTCACTGAATCTGCAGGGATTTATTTGAAATAAATTCTGCCAAACACTGTACCTGACTAACTTCTTTCGAACGTAATACATTATTGATAAGATTGCAACATGACAAAAAAAAAGCAAGCAGACAGTCTACTAATGTTTCAATGATAACCAACACAAGAACCCGTATAAAAAAAAGTCAGCCCATTTTTAATTAACTTTCCTGTAAGGACTCAGTGCATCTGGGGTAAGTTCCAGTTGATGTAACAATACTTATGCTCATTTGTGATCTTTCCAGAGCTTTTCTTTCAGTTGAAAACAAATTAAAGAGTATTTCTGAAAATCAAGAAACTCTTGTACTGTTAGTCAAATGAGAAGAAAATAATTGAACATTAATCTTAAGACTGATTTAACATACTATGATACAAAGCAGATTTCTATATGTTGAGACAACTCTAAATTCTTTCTACTGTATAAACCATAAGAGCACATTATCATCTTTTAGATATCAATCATTTTTATTTATAGATATTAAACCAGCATGTAATTAATGCTCACCTATACTGAATATGATGAAATTCCAGATTGTCACATGCAAAGATGCACTGGTAAATTGCGTTAGAAAACATAATATGCACTCAAATATCCACATTTATATATAAACTTGTACTAAAAATTTAGATTCATGCTGCACTATATGTTATGGGCAGTAATTCTGGCACAATAAGTGCTGAGAACATTTGAGCACATACAATATTTTTATCCTTACACATTTGCTTAATTCAAAAGTGTTGTGCTGATTAAATTGATCCACAGTTCTGTCATCTAAGCTAATAATAAAATCTTTATAATAATAACAACATCTATGAACTTGTACTTTAAGGTAGTTTGTAGAGATGTGCATAATAAATTCTATGACTATGCACCTGTGATCATCAAAAACAAATATTTCGTCATCACTTGTCTTCTTAAAATGATCTTTGCATGAATACAAAAAACACTTTATTAAAAATATTAACATGCAGAAGAAATGGTAATATCAACTTTTACAAAATTTTCACAACTCTTTAAACTGAAAATGGTGCATCTATCTAAATGTGACAAAACACCTCCATAAAGATCATGTCTGTGCCAGTTATATAATATGAATAATATCAAACACAGAAATAAGAAAATTGGTGTAAGGAAGAAACACCAAATGCCAATCATGCATGGCACTTGCTCAATAAAGAAACTATACATTACTGATTCATTTACAATAAAAGATCTTCACAAACCGCTCACAAGAACATAGAATAGAATGGAAATAAGCAGAAGCTGAAATAAACTTTTTTCTGAGAAACTATTCGTAATGGCCAAGAAGAAATCTGCAAGTACCCTATCTCAGGAGGACTCAGAAGGACAAATTACAATATTAATAATCTTTCCTGATGAGAAAGGTACACAAAATTTAAACTGAAAAATTATCATCAATATGCAGTCTGTTTCGGGCCAGGCACTAATTTCATAAACTGGAAAGGCAGACTTTAAATTGACCTTTCTTTTCGCAGAATCAAGAAAAATCATATTCAGTTAGGAGTTGTATCCAAAAATACATTTGAGTTCACAAATTATGTTAAGTTTTAATAAATCTCTTAATGAAAGGGATTCTACAGACACTTCTGTCATCTATAATTAGAAATTCTTCAACATATATACAAATGGCACACAATTTCTCATATAAAGGCCAATCTCACAAATTTATGCTAGAAAAGACAAGACTTATCTCACACTTACTAGAAGTAAAATTGATAGATAAATATTAAGCTGATACGTATTCTCTCATTGTTCTTATCAGAATATGCCAAAAATAGAGAAAATTACAAGCATCATGTTACAAGTTCTGTTCTTACATCTCCATTATTCCTTGTACTTCATGTGAGCTATTCTAATAATTTCAAGAGGGTCACTACTTCTTTCCTACTCGTAAAAAAATTTGAATATAAAGTGGAATATAGCTTACTTTTCTAACTTAAGTAAAGCCTTTCCGCATTTACAAGGCCTTTCTTAAATTCACCACTAAGACTACCAGAAGATGTCTAATGCCACCAAGAACTCTCGGTTAACTTATAACGTTTACCAAAATAAGTCTACTCTGATTTCTTGGAGGAAAAAATGATAAGTATTTAAAGCAATTTGAAATTCTCTCAGATTGTAAAGATTTCTAAGAAGACTGCATTACAAAAATGAATAACAACCTGCATTTTTTCAATACTCTTTTCCAATCAAAGTTAACAGTCTTATAAGGAAACACACTGTAATGGGAAGTACTGTACAAAGTACAGTTAAATGCACATACTTCAATCACCAGTACTCACAACCAATAGCACAATAAGCTCATTTCAATTAACAAATATATTTTACTTACAGAATTTACAACATTTACAGGTAAGTCCCTACCATACCTCTCAATCTCATTCATTAATGAAGAATAAAATTTATTTGCACCAAGTTATGAATAACTAAACATTACTTTTAGAAATATATGTCGAGTAAAGGCTTTATACTTGTATGTTTGTTAAACATTAGAAACAAAATCTATTTTCAATGGAATAAATTCTTTCCATTCTTTAAGTAAAGATTATGTTTAAATACATGGAATGTTTCCAGTCACATCAAATTCCAGCAACAGCACCACTGGGGGAGAAGAAAATAGATAATGCTGTACAGTTACTCAATCTGAAAACCATTGTGGAAGATGTCTTGAAAATATTACAAAAGGTTATGCTATATAACATGAGGGTGCACAGAAAACAGATATATGGTTATATATTAAAAATAAAAAAATTGGCCAGAATACAGGAGAAAGAAGAGGAAAATTGAACATCCCGTTGATATTAAATTAGAATAATTTTTCAAAATCTCAAGAAATTAATTCCTACAATGGTGGTTGTTGTGGTGATGGTAACAGTAATATAAATGGAATATCACACATGCTATGATACTGTATCCTTTTGGTGCAAATAAAGCATTGTAAACAGATTTGGACATTTTATCACTCACTGAAAAATTAGGACTTAAGCATGGGACACCTTCTGAAGTCTCCATTCATGCAAAGATGCTTTTGATATTTATAATTATGATATTAAGATTCAATCCTCAGAATCAAGGATTCCTGTAATAAAGTACTCTTCAATATTGAATATATTTATAATACCACAGGAACCACCTTATGCAGTGCTACTCCAGGCAATGTAGTCCATCAACTTGTGATTAAAATAACAGTTCTTGAAATCTCATACCGTATGTTATCTTTAATAATGTATTGAAAAAAAAGATCATTAAGTGAGAACCGATTCATCCTTACCTTCACTATCAAAAATAAAAGAATGTATACCTTTCATTCTAGTAATAATTCTTTGTGTACTGGAACATGAAAATGAATGAATACATGATTTGTATGAACTACAATTTCTCAAATTGGTGTTGAGAAAAGAGAATTTACAAGACAATTTTTTTGAGAAAATAACATATCTGTAAATCCCAGAAGATATTACTCCATTGAAACATGTCTCTCAAATGCTTAAGATAGCTTTTTTATAGAGGACATGTATTTAGTAGCACTGCATAGTCCAAAAAGATTTCATACAACTTCTAACATCTATGAATTGTACAAGAACTAACAGGTTTTTTCTATGAAGACAAAAAAGTTTAGTAATATCAAACATCTGAAACCAGCCATAATGTATGCACACATGCCTTCTAGTTATAATTTTCATATCACAACAATGAACATTGAGTTGTGTATATTACTATATAAAACATTAAATAATGATTTAATCATATATCTTTCATATATATAAAATTCTTGCTCCCAATTTTGTTTTAAACATTTCATTATGTTCAAATTATTTGCGTTATCTGTGTAATGAACAAAATGTAACCAAATATATCTTGTGAATCATATGATTCTACGTACATTTTGTCCTTGAGCAAACAAGATCTACAAGTTTGTCTTGGACTCCCCCCAATTAGCACCACTTAATAGTCTTAGCTACAGAAATTCAGGGTTGCTTCAGGGAAAAGTGCTTTTATATGGTAACTATCTTTGTTTTCAGCTTTCTACATCTCTCTTCAATTCATAGACATTTACTGACTAGGCACATATTAAAACACACAAAGATAACAAGCAATTCTCTCCTATAAATAAAACACTATTTTCACATTGTCATGATAGAAAATTACGGTCTTCGAAATGTTTAGTTAACATTCCCACAATTACATTATTGGCAAGTCCCAATTGCAAAGGAAACTAAAATCACATAGTGAATTTCTATTCCTCATTACTGTCAACACGGATACAGAACAAATATGGATACAAAACAGAAGCTGGTTGGTCCTCTTTGATTTGAGGAGCAGTTATATTATCCAAACAAAAAATGAAAATAACTGCTTAGGTAATGTGCATCCAAACTTTTATTGGTAAGTAATGTTATTAGAAAGATCTACTGTCCATTCTAGGCCCTGTTCCCTAGAGCTAACCCTGTACCATTTTTTGGTGTGTTGTATATTCACAACACATTGCAATTTTCAAGAAAACTGGAGAAAAAAATAAATTTGTTTGATATATTCAATTTTCACAACTCTCATTTTCATTTGACATAAAGTTTACAAATGATGTGAAAAATAGACATTCTAAATTTAGGAATTCTCTCTTAGAATTGTTTCACCTCATATGCTTTTCTCTTTTTAAGAGTACTAAAAGGCCCAAGAAGGCAAAAAGTACATGATAAGGTTTCTCCTGCTGGTGATTGCTTTAACAGCTCCCTCATTAGCTGTAGGCAATGTAGTCCAGTTAAAGTAAATGTCAAAATAGGTAATTTTAGCGATAAAGAAGGGTAACCTTGTACATCAGCTATTCCCATATCAAAACTGAAGGAAAAAAAACAACAACAAACAAACTAAAAACCCACTTTATAAATTATACACTCAAGTTAAGCGACAAAAAGCACCAAGATCATAAAACAAAGAGATGAAAACAATTCAAAAACACAGAAAAATATTACAGTCAATACTAACATAAATCATTTGTGAAAAACCTCATTTAAAACTTAACTAAAAAGAAACTGTAAATTGCTGTATCAGAGGCCAAACAATCTTAATGCAAAATTACTTCCAATACTGATCTGTATTGATGGAATAAAGTATCTAAAGGTAACGTAAAAGGAGACATGAAACATTACCATGATATGAATGTTTTTTCTCCTTTTATTAAAGAACTGTGAGGTATTCCCTTCTTCATCACCCATCGTGCAATCAGGAAAGTGCATTTCAATGTCTCAATCATTTCTTTCGAGGTAGGACACGTCCACCACACAAATTACAGTCAATTCTCTCACATTCACCAAAAATAACAAAAACCAATAAAAATATATATACCAGCATATATATACAGTCACAGCCAACATAGACTTTTTATACAAAGACTATATAAAATCTATGTGTATGAGAACACACATTCTTCTAAATCACAAGACTGAGTGTTCTTTATCTTCTGTAAGTTGCCATTGCAATAAACAAAAAGCCCACGAAAAATTTACAATTCTAACAATATGGTAAAAAAACTGAAAATGTGATCATATTTGCTTCAGTTCCATTTCTTCATATTTCATAGTTGCCAAAACAAAATGGTAAATTACATATCAGGAAAAAACCTGCAAACAAAAATTAACATTTACTGAGTTTAATAGAAATTATTGAAGTTGATTTGCAATCTAAGTCAGATCATAATATAAATCATGCAGATTTCATGTAGAAAATAACAATAGGTTTAGATCAAAGAATGATTGGCAATTCTTCCCATCCATAAATCCTCGAGTTACAACTCTGAATGTTATTCAGAAAGGTGATAATGAGAGATGGAGGATGATGTTATGAATCTAGGGGGTGAAAGGATGAACACAACACAACCATGCCAGAGGCGGGACTCGAACCCGTGATCCTTCGGTCCGAGATCGCTACGGCACTACTGCCTTAGCGATCTCGGCCACCGGAACGGCAATACTTCCTATTACTATATTGCAAAATACAGATTCTCTTTATCTTCAACATAAAAAAACAGTTCCTTTCCAATGATCCAAAGAATCTTTATTTTGTATGACACAAATACCCAAGACTCATTCGCAATGAAAACGTTTAAAAGACAAGAAAACACAAACACTTATTTCAATATTTCACAATAAACTGTGAATGTAAATGTGAAGTCAGCCTCTTGTTGATACATATCCTGACATTAAAACTAGTGGTGCTACAGAATGGCACAGACTTTCCCATATTAGTTTTCTGTATTCTATGGTGTCGGCTAATTACTCGAATTTGCCACATACCAGCTGCCATCTATTCTGCCAAAAATACATATTATTGAAATTTTCTTAATATTTTGGTTTATTAATCATAGAACAGAAATATTATTTTAAAAATATTAAAAAACAGTAAAATCATGTTCTAAATGGCAATTTTCTTTCAAAAATTTGGATCTGTTTTTGAAGAAATGACACTTGCGCTACAGTACATTTGAACTTTGAAGCACTTTTCCACAGAAAAGTTATGAGTTTTCAAAAAACTTCATTAGAAGTAATTTAGAGCACATTATCTAACAAATACAATAATGTTTACAAATTGCCGGAAATGTGTATATTACCGGTGTGAGAGATATTAAAGAGTGCAATTAGCACTATCCATTCGAAAAGTTTGCAGGAAAAAATTGGATCTGTTTTGGGGAAAATGGTGTTTGAGCGTTTCTGAAATTGTGAAATTTCGAGCTATTTTAGACAGAAAACGGTTGAGTTTCCGAGTAGCTTTATCTGATATTATTCAATGCACGTGTACTCATAAATGTAATAATAAGAGCAATTGCTGCAAATGTAAATATTAACAACATGAGCGGCAAGTCAAAAAAATTACATTTTTGTAATTTTTGAAAGAGAGGAGAAAAAAAAGAGCAATATGGTATTTATGCCATCTTATAGAGTGCATTTAGCACAATCTCTACCAAAAGTTTAATGGAAAGATTTGGACTGGTTTTTGAGATATTCTTGTTTTTATAATTTTTTTAAAAATAGAACAAATTGCACACAATATTGCAAGAAAACTACAAAAATTTTCAAAATAATGTACATGACTTTAATGGAAGAACAAATTATGGACAACAAATTTTATTTGAAGAAAAAAATCTCTATCTTTAATTTTGTTGTAGTAGAAACACCCTGAAAAAATTCAAACTTTTGAAAATTTAGAGATAACCGTGAAAATCAAACCTACGCCACATTTATAAGTGCACTTTACCCTATCCTTATAACAAATTTAAAGATTAAATTTGCAGCCATTTTTGAGAAAATTTTGAAAATGTCACAGGGGCATTATGTAAAGTACCTCCAATACCTAATTAATGATTTTCAAAATCTCAGAGCTTCGACTCAGACCAAATGGACAGGGGTTACTCAATTTGGGAAAAATCCTACGCATGTTTTAAGTGCTAGTGTTGTTCATGTACATCAGACAGACCCATGGACATTTTGGAAAGAAAAGTGTCAGGAGACCGAAAAACGTGTAATTCTGTTGAAATATCGTAATCGATTTTCAGCAGCATTATATAACTTTCCCTATACTACATATATTACTCTGTATATATGTACATACATGGGAAAGTAAAAATTGGCACAACAGTAAAGAATCAAGTAAATAAACTGGAAGTAATCATGTAAGAATGACAATTTCTTATACTATAGTGTTTCTGGGTATGTCAACTACTAAGGTCATTAGTTTTGTGTAGTGCAAGATTTTTATTGCGGGAGGCAACAGTTAGCTTCTCGTGGTGGCTGGTGAGATCTTATGTCAGCTTGCGAGGATTTCCACAACCAAGTATCTCCCATCAGCAGAGCACCTCTCCAGGTCAAAGCCCTAAGCTCCAGTCACAAGCTCTAAGCTCCCGACTGATCTCCTGATGTGTGTGTACATGGAAAAAAAAAGTACAGTTGCAGTATACCAGATCAATGATACTGTAACAAGGGAACTTGTTACAGTATAATGGATCTGGTATACTGCAACTGTTCTTTTTTTTCATATAAGGGGTGAGGAAAGGACAAAAAGGAAGGAAAGATCATGCAAGGTCCTTGACCCTTTTGTTAGGGTACTGCACCATGCTGATCAGACAAACCATGGAAAACTAACGCCAACCGCTAGAATTCTCCTCCAGACAGTGCCTAGCTATGCAGCTTATGTTGAAAATTCTACCATTGTCTTACATGAAAGGTACTGAGTGATTCCATGAATCATTTCATGAACAATGATGATTAGGAGTGTAATTTATGCTCTTCCAAACTGCATTAGCTTCTGAGTAACAGAAGACGCTACCATTCTGATATCTTTGCACGTTTCATTGTGAATGAGCACTCATTGTTAGAAACATATGCTAAATGCTTCTCTTCCAGTCTTACCTCTTCGGTTCACTTGTATAGCTTTGACTTGGAGCTAGCAACTTCTGCCAAAGTAGCTAAGCCAAAGCTACTAAGGACATCTGGCTCCACAACAGCAGTATCTGATTGGAAAAATATAGAATGTCATTCAGTGAAGCTTAAAATACATAAATAATAATAATAATAATAATAATAATAATAATAATAATAATAATAATAATAATAATAATTCTTATTATTTTCATAATTACAGTAAAACTTGCTCAATGCAGAACATGTATAATGTGGAAATCAGTCTAATGAGAACAAATTGTGATCATGCCCAACCCAAATTCTACAGTATTACATTGCATAAAGTGGATTCTTATCTAATACTAATAATAAAAAATCTGGTCCCTTGAGATTCCACTTTGAGCACATTTTAACATATAGTAATAATTATTTATTCATAAAATAAGAGAGAAATTTGAAATTAGAATCTCAAAACAGATTGACAACTGTTTTCAGTAGAACACTTCTAAATAACAATGCATATATTCATTTTAGTTGGATTGTTCCTGAACAAAGAAGGTCAAGGCCTAGAAAAAAGAAAAGAAAAAGAAATGGCAACTGACTGGTTGTAGTGACAACTCAAGGCCTTTGAAAAACTGATGGATATTCCTTAGGAAACAAAATTATGAAAAGTATTTTAATTAAATTTCTCAGTGGTAAACACATTTTCGTTTTGCACATTGTAAGGTTACAAAAACAATCTTTACTAGAAGCATGTTAAAGAGTGCTCAGAGTATTCACACTCTTTGGGAAGTCTTCAATTCTGATTAAGTGAAGGTGGACAGCATAGTGTAATGACTGCAACAAATTTTCACTCCATATGGTCATGGAGCTCACTGGTCTCTTCTGGAAGGATTTTTTTTACCTTGGAACTTGATTTTTTTTATTAATCCATTTGGAAAAAATCTTATAAACACAGAATGAATAGAAAATTGATGCAATATTTACTGCCCAAAATAACGAAAACCCAATTAATCCATTAGACACACATCAATATTAAAACAATTCCACTTGATATAATGAATTCTATTGTGTTTTTCACCTTCTTTAAGAAAGGAAGGAAACTTGGAATTTTCTTTGCCCTGGCCTTGTAGGTTATTTAACTAAAACAAAGGCACTTAGGGTTATGAACATATACGGTTTATGTGAGCAATCAAATCTAGGGTATAATTGGACAAGACCCACAGGAAGGTGGACAAGTTTGTCGAGGATTATTTTCAACTGTGTGAAAACTGAGTGGATGAACAAAACACTGGGACAAAATGTCAATGAAAACTGCAATCAAAAACGGTATCATATGAAAACAAAGGTTTGCTTGTACAATTAGAAAATTTCTACTATGCTTTCCTCCTCCTTTGGGCAAATTCAGTAAACTCTAGTACGATTGCTGCCCTATTATGTTGTAAAACTTTATCTTTCTATGTAACAAACATTAGCCTTCTAATTAGTGCACTTTATGTTTTTAGTCACACAAATTTGTGACAAATAAGTACCAGTACACTTCACAGTATCTTGGCTTGCAAATGAAATTATAAAATCATGTTTTGTTGCCTAAGAACTCAAAATTGCCCTTTAAGATTGTGTACTGGCATGGAGGAAGTAATTCCTTCTTGAATAAACATCATTGTTGGAAGAATGTGCAGCAGTGAAGAAAGATTAAGGAGTTGATGTGCACTGTGAAGGACCTGCTCATGGCCACAAAGCACATTGGATGGAAGCGAATAGACTGTAATTGGTTATATATTAGAAACATTTCAGTCCTTTCTCTGTAGTTTAATTTTTAATCCCAAATGACATGTGTCCATATCCTGACAATATTTGGTATCAGTGTTGTGGTGGATTCCCACACAATTTTGTATAATGCAGAAACTTTGCCTGTTAACATGTTGGTGTCAGAAGCCTGTTTGTGAACCACCATCACCACCACCACTACCACAAAAATGCATGAATACAAATGAAGTCAATCATCCAGTCAACATATTGAAATAATTTACTATTAAGTCTTGTATGAAAATAGGAAAGTTTTTCAAAATCTTGTGTGTACCATAGTGAACAATCTTAGAAGAGCTCAAAAAACAATAAAATATTAGAGAGTTCTTTCCAGAAATAAATAATATTGTTTGTAAAATAAAGAAAATTCAGAAAACAAATTACTTGTATGTTAATAATCATTTTCGTGAACCCCTCTTTTCTCTAAACAACAAACTTCAAAAATATTCCCAAAGCTTTACTGAATGCAGAGAAAGTTTCTGGGCTGGTAGGTCATGGTCCAGTTGGCATTGAAGGGCCAAACTCCGGCTGTGAAAGCATGCAATGCTATATTTCCAAATGTTGGTTCCTGGAATTTGTTAATTGGAGAGTTTACTGTATAAGCCAATTTTATAACTTATTTGTAATACCTTTCTGTGCACGAGCATCCTCTGAGTCAAGGTGCGTAATGCTCTGCTTGCGGGCTTTTCTCTTTTGACTGCCCACCAACACAGGCGTAGAGGGCCCTTTGCTGGCACCATTATTCCGTCCATCGCTGTTATTGTTGCTGCTGTTACAGCTGCTTCCAGTGTTCTCACTCTCAAAAATGCCATTTGGCTTCCCAGGAGTGCTGCCTGACTTGGAAGTTAAGACTGCAAAGAATTAAAGTGACATGAGAGATGTAATAAGAATCCACAACTCTCCTAAAATTGTTTGGAAGTCTTCTTCGAATATATAATTGTTTCCATTAATTATTAGAACAACAACAGCAGAGTATGTGAAAGACTGAATTAAACAATCGCATAACAAAAATGGTAAAGAAATTTACCAGTTGATTGTATTTTAATTCTAGTTGAGTAATGTCAAAGCAGCACTGATAAAAGAGAACAGCAGAATTCTACTAGAGATATTTATTAATGACAAGAAATAGATCTCATTTTAGTTTCCACATCCTAATTATATTAAATATAAGCACACACATATTTACCTACAGTGTGATATCAAAAAATGTTCAAAAACATACTCATACAAACCTAAATGAAACTTGCAAAAATATAATAAACATGTACACAAGCAAATGAAGACCACAGGGGAAGAACATGATAACTCACATTTTCACTACTTTTCAGGAGAGCATTTTCAAATTCAAAACACTCTTAACCAATACCATTTTGTAAAACACGTGGTTTGGTGGGTTTTACTATTAAATCATACGTTTGTTTGATCAACTTCGTATGATTAAAAGAAAGATGCATGGGTAAAAGGTTAATACTCATAGTTTTGTAGAAAGAAACGTGGACTTATCAAGTTTTGTGTAATTGTGTTTCGGTAAATACCATTTATTTTATTTTTCTTTACTTTTGCCATCTTTACATATGAGTTTATATATTCAATAGAAATTTGAAAGGAAATTGTTAATTAAATATCAATTATATGCTGCATAATCAATACCACTCTTACTAATAAAGGCGCTAATACAACCACAGACAAAAGTACAATAAATGAGACAAGTTAATTTTTGTGGAATCAAAAAATAGTTTTGCTGTCAAGCTACTAAACACTAAGGTATTGCAAATCCTTGATCTTTTCTTTGTAGTTCTTCCGCTTTTCTTAATTTATGTGTTCGAAACATTTCTCTTTACAGCCATGCAGCTCATCAGTTTCATGGAAATGAAGTTTCATTTTCTTTAAAACATCTGACATCCTTCCAAAAGTTTTCCTTTTTCTGAACATGCATACTTTAAATTGTGTTAAACTTGTATCTGAATCTTCAGCCTGTAATTCTTCAAAGTCATCCAATACATGAGGTATTTACAAAATGCAGAACACCAAAGTAAATTTCAGAAAACACTAAAAATAACATGAAAGTCACAATGAGGACTCTAAACAAGATACAGAAGAGCACATTAACCACACTCGTACATGTTAACTCTCTCCAAGAACGTATGTTTTCCCTGTGTTTTTACTGCGATTTTTCTCAATATTCCCCTGTTCGCATTATTTTTGAAGAGATATCTGGACTGGACAGGCTTTTGCAACTTCTGACAAATTCATGTCATAGTACTTCTTTCCACTCACCAATCAGAAAATTGCCCATTTTGTGACTTATCATGTTCTTCCCATGTAGTCTTCAAATGTGACCATGTACAAAACCGTGCTGTATTTATTTATACTGCTGGGACAAACAAAGTTCCAGATTGTTTAGAACATAGCTAAAAAGGATTTTACATTGTATTCATTATTTTATCTTCACTGATCGCCTTTATATGAAGCATAAGTATTTATGTGCTGGGGGAAGAAAAATAAGCTCATTTTTATACCTGAAGGTTGCTTAAGAACAAATGTTTGGTAAGCAATCCATGTACACAAAGTATTGGAAGTATTCTATTCATACATGAAGAAACATAAATATAAATCAATATTGTATAATTCAAAACTATTAATTTACTTGTTATTTAAATCAGTATGGTAAATTACTTTAATATATTGCACATTGATACTTACTTTCTTGGCAAAAATACGAACACATCACTGCATACATGGTAATTGTAACAGATTTTGTTTTTCCTTACTGCACATTTTAATAATTTCATAATCCTTATTATAACATTCTTTGAATTTACAATGCTGTAAATCTTCCACAGCCTTAGCAGCTTCAATTCTAATAGATTAGAAATTTCATCTCCATCGTGCCAGCTACAATGAATGATTACTTAAGTGTAGCAAACCATTCATTCTTAATCACAATTGAATTAAATATACTGGTAACTCCATTAAACTACTCTAGAAAATTTGTTTGGATTTTCGGTTTCTTCCCGATTCTATTCAAATTTTGAATATTTGTTTGAAATTAGAAAATTCTTTCAGATTTTTGGGACAAGCGATCAGATAAGATAAAACTATGCATATCACATGTGGCTAAAAGTACATTATTTGATTGTTAATAAGTATCCCAATGCTGCTACTGCACCTCTGAATAAACAACTTGCATATGCTTTCAAAATAAATAACTATTATTTTGCAGAAAAGAGACAAGATCTTACCAGCAATGTGAATAAAACCTTCAGGTTATTTGAAACAGTCTCTTAAAAATGACAAGAGAATTATTTAACATTTTCTTTTAATGAACAAGTCTTGAAATATTTTATTGAAATTCAGTTAAGTGGTTTATAACACAAATAGATCTTTGTAAAAACAAACTAAAGAAAGGTTCCACATACGGTCAGACTAGTTTGAAGAATACATTCAGAACTCAAAATGTCATTTAATATCAAAAGGAATACCCAGGAAATATTTCAAATGTTGTCAGTCTGTTTCTGCTGAGAACGCTGAGAAGCACATTTAAAATAAAAAATAAAAATATTGCATTGCACTTCAAACAATTAATTCTATAAGTTTTAATTTATTTCTGGTGGAAGCTCCTCGTCCTTCATTCAAACTTACCGGTTTTAGTCTCATTAACATGGGCTCCAGCTGTCAAATTCATCAGCAAACCAGATGATGACGAAGAGTAGGAAGATGAAAAGAAGGATGAAGTCTTCTTGGGCATAGGAGACGTGCGCTTCTTGCGTGCTTTCTTCTTCAGCTGGAACTCCTCGAGACTGAGAGAGGGCAATGCCTCAATCTTCGCGTCCAGATTGAAGTCCCTGCGGGCGGGAGCGCCTCGTAGAGCCTGCCTGCTATTATGCGCATTCCTGCTTATGAGATATAGACCCACACAAACACGTCAGTATCAGTTTGTCCGTCAATCCGTTGAGTAGGACACACAGGAAACGGATGTGAGAAATAGGCATAAGGCAACGGAATGAAGTATGAAATGAAGATGAAGTTGAACAGTGAAATGAAATTTGAGGCAGAATTCTGTTAGCTCTTTCAAACAAATTCTTGTGTCAGCAATTTTCATACAGAAAACCAGAAGATAATTGATATCATGTCCTTTCACGAATGAACTTCAAAAGCAATTGGAGCACTTTATATCATTTACACGAAAGTTACTGCATAATTATGACGTTAAAGAAAGGTCTTAAAAGTATGGAAGATGTATTTTAACTACTTTATGATCGATTTAACATCATACATTTTGAGCTCTCATTGTCATCTCCCCATGTATGCACAGCCACTGTTGGAACTATTTGGTTGGAAGCATTTGCAACTTCAATTGCTTACTTAATTGCTAACATGTTGTGATGAAGCAAATGACATTCTCAGAGAATAAAAGGTAAGAGCCAAAGTTTGAATACAAGGAGCTGAATTAAATGTTAAAAATATTAAAGTATCTTTGTTGAAAGAAAAATTTGCAGCAAGTAGAACTCTAATGCAGTAATAAAAAAAATTATAATATATTTCAAAATCTGTAGTCTATAAAATTTCTGAAAACTGCAATATAACAGAATTTCATGAAAAACACATATCTAAAAACAACTTAGACAGTTACTCTCAAATAGTCTTAAAATAAGTTTACAATTAATTATATAAAATTATAATATCTGGATAGGAATTTTTGTAAAAGCTCCATTATTCTTCATTATCAATACACATATTGTAAATTACATTTACAACAAGGACCCACTAGAATGTTCGATAATTGGAAGATGAAATGAACTGTAAAGTCAACAACTCCATCAAGATCAGATGAAACATGATAAAATGCTAACAGGAAATCGAATGGAGGAAAGGCAATGATTGATGGGATGGGATGGAATGGAAATGAGTAATCTCCATTAATTTGCATATGAGCAATAAGAAAATGCATGGAAATAATGCTATCAATCACAAAATAGTGTAAGAAACTTTCTGCATTTGATTTTGTAATTGACTTTCCAGACCAACTATTTTCTAAATGATCATATGCAACAAAATGCAGATTCCTACAATAATTTCAATAACAAAATACACATAAATATGCCAATTAGCCTGTAATAAATAAAAAAATGACAGGCACCATCTGAGAAAATTAGATATCAAATACCCTCACAGAACCAAATTGTACAATATTTTTGCAAGTTATGAATGACAAGTAGCACTTACAATGATAATAGGAATCCATACCCGTGTCACAGCTTACATTCCCCCCCCCCCCAATGAACTCCAAATAATATTTTTCAACAGTCGCATACCAATGGGACAATCCCTAGTATAGTCTTTTGCTTGATCTTTATTTGGGTAAGAGTTACTGTATGGTTTACTACATGGTTTAGTACTGTCATCATTATAAATTTTCCTAATCTTAAGTACTAGATTCATCTTTTAATGGTTATCAGTTGTTTACATAACAATTCAAAATCGTTGCCAAGCACAATCACTTCTATGAAACTTCAGTTTTCTCGTATAGCTAGACCAGCCCACAACACATTACAACCTTACTTTGGTATCTACCTATGACTGGACAGTTGGACAAGCAACAAATGAATGTTAAAATAGTTCTTCAAAAAATGAAGTTGCTAACTATGACCCTTGTGGAAAAGACCTTAATTTCAGAGAATTGTGCAATACATTTTCGAAATATATAACCTGTGCCACCCTTTAAAATTCACAAATAAATAATTTAAAACAAACTTATGAAAATTAGATTGTTAGATAATGCTAAATACATGTGGTTTCAGTTCTTAAATAGTTAAAAATTTTCTTTTGAATATTTTGCATTTTTTATTTGCACCTCCCTCCCCATTTGACATTCTCTGGTTATGACACTGGCATGCGACTGTGAATATGGCACATTATGATGTAATCAGCAGAGTCCAAATTTTTATGACACAGTATCCTCTCTAACACATAACAAAAGCTCTTAAAACAAAAAACACACAGACCTATCAAAATTGTACAATTATTTCCAAATTTCTCCAAAATATTCCATTCAAAGAAAAGTGATTAACAATTTACTAGACACAAATTATACACTTGAATTCTATACTTCAAGTTTTTTTTATTGAGGTCTCTAAGTTGAATTTGTTAAGGCATGAAGTGCAGTGTGTTACATGATATTTCTCAATTTTCTCTGGAATTTTTTTCAGTGAGTGTTCAGAAGGTATGCTTTGTACTACATTACACCACTGGTGCATTCTTCGTCTTTCTTGCATACCATTCATAAAGAGATGGAAGTGGCTGGTAGTAAAGGTATGTAACAACGAAAAATTTTGTAACAATATGCAAATATGCAACATTAAATTTCAATATTAGAGTCACAATACTTTTTTTGTATCAACGGGTAACGAGGGAAAAAATTACATAAAAATCTGGACTCAAATAATCAGCTTATAAATACGGGAATATTTAAAGAGATCCAGAAACTATCACAAATTTGGTTCAGTGACTACTAAAAGCAAAAAATTAATCAATTAAAAAGAAAAAAGGGAAAAAAAAAAAAAAAGTTTTGCATTGCTTTCTTTCCCGTAGTTTATACAAAAACTAAATAAACATTTGAAAAAATTTTAAAACTTCTTACTCAACTGGCTTGTGGAAGTGAAGTGAAATGAATGGCAGTGAGAAAGTATGTGACAGGGAATAGTCTTAGTGCAAGTCCTTGGTTTGCAACCTCTCGAGAGAAAAGCCCTAAGCACATTGAATGTCACTAGTATTTTAAGTATATAAGAGAGTAAGGCCATTAGACTGCAAAAAATTAATTTTGTGACAGTTTACGGTTTATAATATAGTTTTGTTCTGATGTTGAATGGCAGCAAGGAAAAAGAAAGAGAGTTGAAAGTGGTTTCCCATTTGATCCCATGGCTTCAAAATTTAACTTAAGTAAACTCCATGAAATACACAGAAAAAAAATTGAAGAAATAAATAGAAATTCCTTTCAACACAACTGTATTTATGAGTATAGTTACAAAATTTAGTTTGAATGTAACATTTCAATTTTTCAGGATTTACTATCAACGAACATCTTTTGGCCTATTTCACCACTTCCACATTAGGGAAAAGTAATTAAAAATAATATACAATTGTCACCACCCTGTCATCTCATTGCACAGGCAATTACATTGGAAACATGTTCTGCCCAGTAAATGTCTTCTATGAAGTGATCTAGTTACTGTGTAACAAATGTATTTAATAATTCAAATTGTTTGAAGTATTACTGTATTTACTGGAGTATAAGACCACCTACTTTTCAAAGAGGCCTCCTGAGTTTTCTTTCATAATTTTTAACTAATTATTCCTAATTGGTCAACATTGCTAATTGCCTAATTGACTGGTAAATTGTCTTGATAAGAATGATAAAATCGTCATATTGCCTGAGCTTTCACCATTTTCTTAAAACTTAAAGGTAGATTAATCCGTTTTGTCACTCCCATCTTTACATATATTAGTTTTCTTCTTTTTGGTCCTCCCATACTGCATTGTCTAACTTTTCAGCTCTCCCTGAAATTTATTATCAGCATTGAATTTATGTTCATGTTTCATCTGTTGCTACCTAAGATCATACACTTTTTGAGTCATCAGATTTCTCCCTGTGCTCTCTTGTCCATTGCCTCTCATTCTTTAACAGTTCTTTTAGAGAATGTTCTTGAAATTGGCTTTGTTTAATGTTTGTGTGATAGACTTGCAAACTCATACATCTCCATTTTGCGAATAACATGCGCAAAAGTGGCTAACATCCAAGTTTGAGAAGATGTTCAGAAAATACTGTGTTATCATTGTTTCTGTGATTGTATGTAGACAGCATACTTCTATCAATGTGATTCTATTTTTCATTTCCATCTCTTACAAAACACAGATTCGCACTCACTGGATGTCAAACCAAGAATTCATAAGGCCTCGTTGGCCAGTGCATTGTGTAGCAAAATCTCAGCAATGATTTTTATACTTTTTCATGTTTGACTTCACTTACTATATCAGCCCAACTTTTGGTCTGAATTGCCCACCAAATTCACAGTGGATGTCAACAATACATCCACAAACATAATTTGGTATTATAGATAAATGTGATATTTATTGCCTTTGCAGTTAATTATTTCATCAGCATTCAAGTTTCTTAAGCTTAATGTACTAAGTACTTAATGTAACTAATGTACTGTAATGTAATAAGATGATTCCATATTTTTGAATGAGACATTTAGGGAAAAACTCATCTTGTATTCAGGTAAATACGGAAGACACCCTGACTGGGAATCAAACCCAGGTTTCCTTGTTTACACCCTGTTATCTAACCACTGAGCTACAGAGACCTGCTGTTTCATTACGGCCTTATCATTATTAATACTCAATTATAACCACCCTGGTATCAGATTTTTTGGTAGTACAAGGTATTGGAAAAAATTGATTCTTTATTTTTTTCATAATCAATTAAAAACATTTTTAATGCAAAAGTCACTATAAGAATTTTAAAAAAGATCTTGCATTTTAAAAATTGTTGAAGATAAAACTGTTTGAAAAAGATAGGTACTATTTATATTCGTTTCCACTCATTACATTAAAAAGGTACATCTTTTTCACAAGTTCACAGATTCTTTATTTCAAAGGGAGGTACATGGATACAGATTAAATGATAGAAGAAATTATCCTCAAAGATATTTTGTATCCTCTCCAGGGTACCTGTTGCACCCATTATGTACTTTGTGGGCAATTATAATGTTTTACTTATACTGCAATACTAAGCAGTATCTGACAATTCAATATTTTTTTTTTCTTTTTTCTTTTTTTTTTTTCAAGAATGATGTTATTCAATTTCTTATTATTGCAGTTAATGGTAAGAAATTAATATCATAAAATACTAAGAAGTGTTTGTATAAAGGAAGTCAGGTAAAACTGACAAAAAATTGACCGTAGAAAATCAGTTGTATCTGATCTAAAATCTGAATTGATGTCCCAAGATCTTTCAGGAGACAAGTATGATAGCCCTAATATGAGCATAAGGAGCTTGATGTATCTGGATAACATTACAGACTGTTGAAAATAACTAAATGTTAAAAGTGGTCTACATTTTACCATTGCAGCTGTGCTGAAAGGGTGAAAGTGATATTGAGTGGTGGATTTTCCGAGTGTTATTAAGTCATCATGATAATGGATCTCAAGGGCATGTTATCTGATCTAAAATCTGAATTATTAGCCAGTCCATAACTGATACTATAGGGAAGCGCATGGAAGACCAGGATGTTAAATTGGATACGTTGGAAAACAGGATTTTGAGGCTTGAGGAGAGACTGGTCAATCATCTGTTACGACAGAAGAGAGTGTTACTGAGGAGCTTTTGCTGAGGCACCTTAGAGCCAAAAATGTCATTATTTATGATCTTTAAACTGACACCATAGGACACAATGCCCTTAAACTTAGCAACAGCGTTTTTGAGTGTTATCCCAGCTTCCCCAAGGCTGTGGCTGCTAAATGTCCATTATGCCCTTAAAGGTCACCTTTGGGAATGAAGATGAGGCTTTGTTTGTTTTGAGAAACAAATCTAGAGTGAGCAACCTTGGAAATATGATAAAAATGATTTTACCAGGAAGCGATAAACTCACCATAAGGCATTGATCGAGGAGCTGAGACCCCATCAGGCCAGTGATGAAAAGGATATTACAGTAAAATTCTTTAGTGGAGTACTCAAAATAGTAACACAGAAAAAACTAATGAAGGGATATACCAGTAATCATAACATTTATTACCAAACTGTGTGAGTATTACGCACCAAACTTCTACAACCGTGGGCATAATTTCCACAAGTGCTTCTACTTACAATGTAATTGTATTTTCAGGAAATTGGTTGAATGGGAATTTTTCTAATGAGGAATTGCACATGTGCAATTACAGATTATACAGGCTAGATAGAAACCCTGATATGAGTCCATTGCTGAGAGGTAGTGTTCTGGTTGTGGCCCATAATGAAATTCAGAGTTCATGTATCTTAATGAATTGAATTGAATTAATGCCTTATTTTATGTGGCGAGACTCAGGCCATTAGGCCTGCTCTTCTGACTGACCACGCAAATTTCGCTACGCTCCTTTCACCAACTAGCGGAGAAAGGAGGTGTATATTGGGCGAGAAACAGGCGATTTGAATTTAGCTCAGAGGCGTCATTTAGGCTTGAGGATCTTTTACATGCAAGTAAATCTACTAACATGGGACAGCCGGCTTTACTTCCCCTCCGAAGGAAGGCGTACGAAGGATTTTTCGCCCTTAAAAATCCACGGCTTCTATCGGGTTTGAACCCGCCAACTTGGGTACAACAGTCCAGTACGCTAACCGTTACACCATCACCGCCGCAATGACAGTGTGGAGTACGTTTTTGTATGATTGGACTCTTTGAACATTGTGTTTGGTGCTGTCTACATACCACCCTTTCTTCTGCTGATGTGTATGATTGCCATGCCATCGAGGTGGCTCGCATTGTTCATCTTCAACAGACTGCTGACTTAATTATTATGGGGGACTACAATTTCCCTGATGCATCATGGAACTGTGATTTCATTGATTCCATGTCATCACTGCCAACGTCAGCAAATCTCATGAACACTTTCTCATTTTTGAATTTTTACCAGCTTAACAACACTGAACTATTAAGGATTTGGCTCTATTTAGGATTTGGTATTTTGCTCACAGGAATCTCTTTCTATTAGTGCTGCAACAGATTTGTTGATAACTAAGGATGACTATTACCCAGCACTGGAATATTGTTTTGGTATGGTTAAACAAGAGCAGTCGATCCATGGATTAGGTTATTTTTCATGAGTGGCATAGAGCTGACTATCTATCCATTTTCACAGCATTGAATGACACTGACTGGAGCACCATTTTATTAAATGATGATGTTCAGATGTCCTTAGAGGTAGTCTACTCCATTGTGGTTCAACACATGCCTCTGAGACTTAGTCGGAATAGGAGCTACCCTTCCTGGTGAATTTGATCAAGTCCAAGAAGTTTTCACATAGCCAGTCTCCACAGAACTACAGCACCTTCTCCAGCTTGAGATCACAATGTAAATTTTTACAGGCTCATTGTTGGGACACATATTTTATTGCTAAGGTTCTATTTCTTATGACACTAGGATCTTCTCAAAACATATGAAAAATCTTAACAATGGTGGTTTCTGGCCATCTCAAATGTGTTACAAGGATGTGAACATCACAAGTGATGAGGCATTGAGTGTTCTTAAGACTATTTCAACACTTAACTTCGTCAGCAGTAATGGAAGCTTTTATTTTGTCGATCAACAAGCATTTGGTAGCCATCTGTCTACGTACAATCTATCTTCATCACTTGAGGAAATATTTGAGGAGTTAACAAGGCTTGACACAAATAAGACATGATCAATTGTCTAACTTCTTTGTAAAAACTTGTAAATACTTGTATGCCTTATCGAATCCATTATTTCTTATGTTGTCTGCTTTGTCTTCTTATTATCTTCTGGTCTGTCTTCTGAGAGTTGGAAAATTGGCAAAATAATACCTATAGGTATAAATCGGGTAGAAAGTTTGAGATTGATAACTATAGACCTACAAAGCGGTATCCCCAATATGTTTGAAAACTTACAAAGGTTATTTTGGCATCATTTGACAGTTTGATCAGTTCGGTGCAACATGGTTTTATCAAGGGAAGATCTACTTCAACTAACCTTGTAGTTTTCAAAAGGCACATGATTCATTGTATAGAAACAGGCAGTCGACTTGATCTCATCTACAAGGACGTCTTCTAGGACTTCAACTGCTTGAACCATAATTTACTTGTAAGTTGTTTCCACTGGTTTTAGTGGTTCTTTGCTTCAGAGGCTTTAAAGTTACCCACACATAGGAAGCAGTAAGTACATATTAATGGACGTTCATCTTCACTGTTTGAAAAATCATCTAGAGTTCCACAGGAGTCACATCTTGGTCAGTACTCTTTAACATTTTTATTAGTGACTTAACCATGCACTTTATAGAGTACTGCAAGCTTCTACTGTATGAAGATGATGCAAAGATTTTTAGGGAGATGTGCAATCGTGAAGAAGCCTGCCTTTTACAGAGTAACTTAGACACATTCAACGATTGGTGTCATCATAACGATATGCTTTTGAATGCAACTAAATGCTCAGTAATGAAGTATTCACTAGCGAAATCTGACAGCGAGTTTGATTACTTGATTGGTGGTGTGATTCTTGACAAGGCTCGTCGTGTTAGTGAGTTGGGAATTATTTTCGATTCCAAGGCTTCTTTTAACATCCACTCTACTGAAAATTATAACAAGGCTATGAGAAGATCAGGCTTCATTTTCATGAAGATCTTTTAGAAATCCTGGTACTCTATCCCTTCTTTATAAGTCATTAGACAGACCCATTCTGGAATAAACAGCTTAGTTTGGAATCCCTGTGATAACCAGCGAATGACACTTCAAAGGTCCAACATAATATTCTTGAGAACTATGGCTCATAGGCTTGGCATAATGATCATCTTCGATCACGATTATGAAGACATACTTCAGAGAAAGAACATAGTTACTTTAGATGTTAGGAGGGCGATGTTTGACTGCTTCTGTACAAACTCATCCATGATGAGATTAATTGCCCTGCTGTCCTCCATCTCTTAAAGAGTACATAGACTTCATTTCAGAGACAATTATCTATTCGGTGCTAAGCATTGTAGAACTACTGTTCGAGAGAACACCTTCAACTGCATACAAAACACTGCAAATATTTTTCTTTTAGACATTCACATTTTTCTGATTACTGTGAATAAATTGAGAAATAGAATTGGAGGAGGCTATGAAACAGTATTAAGTGATCATGTTTAAATTCCATTTCATATTACCATTTTTTACTATTACTATTACCATAATCATCACTATAATTTATATTTTGCTATACACCTTAAACAAATAAAATATCGATAAAAAATTTTAAGTACAATTAATGCAATGAATGTTCTTGGATGTGATATTTATTGATATTTTGATCATACTAATTTTAAGTAGTATATTCTAATATTTAGTTGTATTTCCTTGTAAACAATTCATCTAAAAGGCTCTGTTAATTGTATTTTGATATTATGTATTTCTGTGATTTGTCTAATAATTTTTTTAGTACATTTTTGTTTGGTTTTTTATTTGTCACTTATTTCTTGTAATAAACTTTGTGTACCTTGGATGTTCTGTATTCTAAATGGAATGTTCCCATATAAATGAATAAATAAATATTTCACAATGAAAATTAATATATCTCATAAACAGTGAATCTAAATTACTTGGCAGTACATAGAATTTTGAAAATTTTCACAAATTTAATTAAAAACCAAATTTCATTATAGACAGGATTCCACATTATAGAGAAGAAAATTCAATATTAGACAATACATTAAAATTTTATATTTCTTAGCGCAATTAACTACAATGAGCAAACCAAGATTTATAGCATTTGGGAAAGAGATATTGCCAATAAACAAAGAAAATCCTATACAATTGAAAACACAGAATAGATACCAAGTATCTTACAAATAAGTCACAAAACTAGTATTATTTCCTTTCCACAAATAAACTAATAGAGAAAAAGAAAATTAATACTCACGCTGCCCGGAAGCGCTTCTTTGGACAGGAATCAGAAAATGAGTCTTCTGACGTTTCAGAAATTTTTCTCATCTTTTTTAAGGTACCTGAGGGGGAATTTGCAGAAGTATCTCTGCTACTGTAAAAGAAAAAAAGAGCATAAGAAATTTTCAATAATACATTCAACCACTGTTATAACCATGGCATTGTATTAATTTGATTTAAAAAAAAAAAAAAATTAAACTGTCTTCTTGAAAGGAACCGGATGTTGTAATAACAAAACTAAATTGAGAAATAGAAGCCACAGCTCTGAATGATGCAATTCAGTCTGTTGTCCCCTGCTCTCCTCGATATCTTCCAAGTCTTCCTAGTTCCCTATTTCTTGGAACGACTCGCCCCCATCTGGTGCATTATTCTTTATATTCCATGCTGCCTTGAGACCCAGCCCATCATCAGCTTTTGGAGGTAGCCCACAGACCCATCACCAACACATCATCTTGCAGGGTTTTTCCCAACCAGGGGAAACCTACCACTGGGTCACCATCCCAGCCAGAACAAACTCTAAGATCCTAACTTATGTGGTGGTGTAGTGCATGTAGTAAGTGCAAGCTTGTGTAAGTGGGGTCAGGATAGGTCAAGGAACAAGAAGGAAAGATTGAGGATGGTACACAGCTCGTTTGTTAGGATAATGCTCTGGCATTCACCTGGAGATGATCAGAGAAACCTGGAAAACTACCAATCAGAGCAGCCAGATGCTAAAAATTTCCAGAAAGACTGAATTCAATAAAGTTATCTAGCCAGTATCAAAAATGTTGCCACCATCGGGTCAGAGGCACTGCACTTTAGTTGATGCCTTGAGCCACCTTAACCGGTAAGCTAGCTGATATCGAGTTGTAAGTAACTGTCTGAAAGGGAAAGAGCCAGGCTTCTAGGGTGATGCATGGGGGTTGTGTCTTTCCATCATGTCACAACACAAGAGGAATCAAGAACAGCACTGTCCGAGTAAATTATTACATGCCTTACTTCTGCACATAATGTTACAACCAGGAATGAAAGGATATTGTGGGAAGATGTTGATAGGTGTGAAAGACAACTGTATCACAAAACCCATACCTAAACAGGACTCAAACCTGTGAACTCGTGCAACATTTCTTGACGCAACTTAACCACACAACCTTTCTTGACCAACAGCCTACCTTCCCCCTCCTTTGAGCAATAAACAGTTGAAGTCAAAAGCTCACAGTAAACACTGATGACATTCAAATATAGAAACTTCATTGGCACGAAACAGAAGCTTCAGTGAAACTCTGCTTATACGTTTCTCACTTATATGTCTTTTCTCTTGTTAGTCCTGGAGAAATTCCTATAATTGTCATGCTAAATTATTTGATATATGGGTTTCATGTTTATTCATTTTTCACATTTATACGTTCATAATAAAAGTCCCTTTAAGACCGCACAACGTTCAAATGATCCTAGTGAGGCATGGAGCAACCTGCGCTGAGAGCCTGGGACTTCAGAGCGCTCTTGTGGAGCGTCCTGTCGCTTTTCCCCACGGTTATGTCGCTAGGCTGTGGCAATCGTGGCTCTTTTGTTGCCCACGTAGAACTCTACGCTTTTAACCACGGAATTTCAAGTAACATCAAGCTTGAAATCGAAGCAACCAGCTTAGCATCGATGCTGCCAGTTGTAGCCCATGCAGGACACGACATGCATTCCCACAAGGTGATCAGTAAGGACTCCTTGCGTGTCCGCTACCTCCATTTCAGGAGAGACTTCTTCGATGATGACCTTCGTCTGATGATCAGAGAGATCAGAAATAATTACTTTTTTCCAACTGACCAGAGATGTAATTTGTGGCTCTGAGGCTCTGTGTTTAAATGACGGTAAAGTTCGTCTTCTATCTGCTTTTGTGTCCGTGATATTAAATGAAAAAGAGTGGTAGGAAAAGATAATCCCTTTCAATATCAGATAAAATAAAAGAATAAAAATTGTTTTGGAGAGTGGCAATAAAAAACTAGATATTGCTAAAAAGCAAAAAACTGGTAAAAAAAATTGAGTTTCTATTTTGTTCGTAATAATCAATTTCAGTTATGTGTTTTTCTCACTTCAACATTCTTTCCCCTTCAGTCCCCTGAAATATGTACAAGTGAAGTTTTACTGAAGTTGCTTTTAAAGACAAGAACTTCTCTTCGTGCTTTTTTGTGCTAATACCTAAAGAAATGGCTAAGGCAAGTCCTGAGCCTTCACCAAAAAGCTCATCAAACTTCTGAGAAAATTAAAAGCACGAATAGTAGCAGCAAATGCAAACTTATCAAGAAAGTTGCAAATGCATGATAACTGGAAAGGGGTTTTGAAGTATCTTTTGAGAACTGCGTACACTGGAGCAGGTATTTCTATAATACCTACAATAAAGATAAAAAGAGCTTATCACCCTTTACAATCTCCAGAAATTGCCTGGTAAGAAAATATAATGTTTAAGGAAACTAATTTAACATGTTCTATGTAACTATATTTTATATACTATATATACTATTTCCTCCAATTTTTCACATATCCTCAAATAAAATGGTGACCTATAGTATATAAAGTAATTAAAAAAGTCTTGTTAGTTAGTATTTAGACTTACACAGTTAATAAGAAATTTATTATAATAAAATAAGATTCATCACTTCAGGCAAATGAAGTCAGTGTGCTTCCCAAGTCAAGAAATTAATGAGTCGTACATTACATAATGTGAGAGGCAATTTTAAATACGTATCTGAGATTAAATATTTCTATCAAAGATGTTCTAAGAACAAAGATCAATTAAGCTATAACAAAAAAGTAGAGAATATACAGAGCACTAATATTAGTATTTTATTATTTCCTGATCTGGCATGCCAGTAGCAGGTTTGTCAGAAGTTGGCATTCCTTGAAAAGCTCTAGTGGACGACTTAATAACTAAAGCTCTTACTCTATCTGCATTGCCAAAAAAACAAACTTACACACACAAAAAAAGGGGAAGAGGGCTTCTCAGGAGCAAAAGATTGGTGAACTTTAAGTTACTGCTACACCATTTCCAAAGCACATTGATAGCTGTTCCCTCTTACCTGGCCTTACTAGCAGGAAAACCTCCCGATATAGGCCTGGGACTAGAAGGACTGACATCACTTGATACGGACACCCTACCACTGACCACAGCAGCTGCAGGTGAATCAAACTCAGGCTCCTTGGAGCAGCCTTCAGACATTACAGAGTCTGCACGGTCACTCGTGGTAGAGGAACCAGAGTCCACACGATCTCTACGAACCGCTGGATTAGAGGTACCCGCTGATCCCACAATGTAATCCGAGTTTCTACAATGAGAAAGTACCCTATCATTAGTAGTAATAAATAACAATAAAGATAATAATAATGATAATGTGGTTGATGATGATGATGGTGGTAGTGGTCGTTAGATGTAATGAGCTTTGAGAAAATGTTCAAAATATGTTCATGTGCAAAAATCAAGTTTGGTATTAAGAACTCCTTTAACAAAAATATTGTATTCAAAAACCTAGATTTGCAAGAGAAAGTATAATTTTTTAGAATTCCTATTTAATGAATTTTTCAATTGAATGAACTTATGAATGAAATAATGAATCAATTTTAGAATATCTATTTAGAGGTACTCTAATTACTCACAAATTAACAGATATTTTTGGAAAACATATTATGACAATACTTTGTGGTGTAAGGAAAGTAAAAGGTAATTTCACAAGAAAGCATTACAAATTATTACTTTTGTAATTAAGAATTAAGAGATTACTCTTCAGGAACATTAAAGGAATTTTCTTTAAAAGAGAATTTCTGAAGAAAAGGAATTCACAAGAATTTATGATAAATATGATTTCACCTGTTGGCATAAGAATAATGAAATGTTAGGAGAATTAGATTACAATGAGGTATTATAGAGCACTGACATAGGTATTATATTAATTTTCCTAAAAACTTACATCCCTCTACGATTATTCTAAAAAAGGGTACACTGAACTAAACATTTTCTTTTAAACAAAACCTCGTAAGAGACCTACAAAAATTACAACCATTCATTTTTTCAAATTCAGATTAAATTCCCATAAAAAAGGCTAGAATGTGTATGCAATTACTTGCTATTTGTTTGTTCTTTAATTATGATGAAATTTTTGTAATATCGCACCGCCAATAGAAAAGTGACACAAGTGCAAATTTCTGATTTCTCAGAAATAACAATTTTAAGTTTTGTAGTTCTATAATACTCGTTTTAGATTGTACCAAATATTGACCTTCTAGCGAACAGTAATTGAACTAATTAAAAATCAACTTCAGAATAGTAGCAGTACCTCGTGGTAACCTCTTATCAGCTTCTAGCTGAAAAATGACTATTTCACACTTGTGTCACTTTTCTATAGGAGATGCAATATGTATATGAAATTGCATGATTTGCACGGTTATTTGAAAGTCATTTGGTAATCCATATTTATGGGTATGATACACATTTTCACATATTTCAGGAAAAGAAATTTGCATATTTTAACGTTTTATTTACAATGTTCCACCATTATAGATTTTCAAACATATTTCTCTCTTTTGGAAAATCACTTTTTTGGACAAGCTCATTCAGAAAAGGAATAAATCTTTATCTATACACATTTTTAAATAAATTTAAAAAAATACACACATACAGCCTAACAATGACAAAATTTACTCAACTCACCCTTCTGAGACCATTCCAAAATTTCGTCGACTCCTCTTTCCCACAGCCAGACGACCTTCATTCATGAACTCTCTATAGCGTTGTCCTTTGCATGCACGAAGCGATTTGCGCCTTGGGATAAAAGAAAATTACTTTTGTTTTTCATGCTCAAAAAAAGTATTAAATCTACTTTTTATTAAATGCTTTTATTGAAAGTGGATGAAATACAGTCATACAATGTCACAGTAATTTTATTGAAAAAATTGTCTTTTATGAATATTTTTAAAACGACCTTAAAGGTGAGGAATCCCAAATAATATTACAGACAGACAATTTGTTGCATAACTTTCTTTATTTTTCATGTTTCAACATGGTTTGCAACATGCTTCAGATATAGGTTGCCCCAATCAACAGGCAAACCTAGTTGAGACCATAAAATGAAATTTTATGCAGTATTAGAAAATGAAATTTTAAGTGAATTCCACTCCTTGGTTCACTCTTCTGCCATATTGACCATCTGACACAGCCTTTTTCCGATGTTTGACAAAAAATTTCATTTTATGGGCTATAATATGTTTGCCTGATGATGGGGACAACCTATCCCTGAAACATGTTGCAAATCATGTTGAAACATGAAAAATAAAGAAAATTATGCAACAAATTGTCTGTCTGTAATATTATTTGGGGCTCCTCTCCTTTAAGACTGTTTTAAACACAGTAATTTTAATATAAGTTTGACTTTTGAGTGGGTGAATAACTTTCAGTATGGATATACATTACTTTGTTATTTTGGAGAGTATCATCCAGGTGCCTCCAATGGGTTGCAACAAATAATTATGTAAAAAACAACAACAAAACAAACAAAAAACCGTACACTTTGATTTTGAGACCTTTTTAAATCAAATTTGATAAACGAGTGTTTTTAATAAATATTTTTTAATATTATTCTTATCATCAGAGTTAAAAAATCACTAAAAATTTAAATTCAATTGTTGTTTTCAAAGAATAATAATGCAATTTTTAATTTTCAATTCTTTATTTATTTATTTATTTTAATATAATTAATTTACTTCTCATCTTTTTTCATATCTGTCTTCTAGACTTTATATTAAGTGTAGTTACATCTTTTAAATTTATATTAATAGTATACTTTGACAAAAATTATAAAAGTTGTTAAAATTAATTAATTGAAGGGAACGACACAAGATAAAGATAACCATCATTTCTCATAATCAAAGTAAGGGTGTATCACTAGTATCAATGTGTATTTTACACAAAGATATTTAATTGTGAGTTCCCTCAGACTTACAAAAATTAGAGAAATGAGAGTTGTCATTGCTCCTTCAATTAGGTTGTTTTCACCCCCACATAAATGGAAACAATTAAGGTAAGATTTATTTTTTTATTTACAAATGAATACTTGTGTTTACTTCACTACCACACTTTAGGATGAAGGATCAAGTTACGAATGAAATCAATAACGAAAAATGTGTTCCGTAAAGAAAAACAGAAGGAAAAAAAATCTATTCTCTCTAACTTAAAAATACTTTTAAAATTTTAGATCCTGACAGTTTATCTTGTACTTGCACACACAATATAATCCCTTGCAGCCTATGTCTTAGTGCTGGGTGTCAGTCAACAATTTGTTTCTAATTTTTTTCAATAGTAAAAAAATGTAACATTATGGACTGTAAATTAAATGAATTTTCAAAGAATTGTATTTTCTTTCCTAGATATTTGACTGAAATATCTTTTGATTTTTTGACATTGTGTCTGTTTCAACAAGAGTAGATTAATATATTATTACATCAAAATATACTAGTAAAAATGTATCACTTTCAAAACTGGCATTTCTCTTTATTCACCATCATCAATGTAGGTGTTATTAACCAATAATGAAGAAAGTATTGTTTAGATGAAGCAATGCATGGAAACTTACATCACAGAGAAATGTAAACCAATGTTTTTTAATCACTAGCCGTTTCATTTGTGATGGAAAAGACTCTGAAACCACAGTATCTCTATAATGTGAGAAATATTTATTTTTAGGACTCACCTGGTCGTTGTGTCTCCTGAACTGTAGCTAGGCTGTTCAGAAGGAGGCGTCTGACTACAAGCTGGTGACTTCTCCTCCACTTCCTTCTTAGGATCTCTCGTGTTGGATATCGAAAGAGTCTTTGGTCTCTTAGCTGGGGCAATTTGCCAATTAGCATCATTTTGTTCTTTCTCGGATTTAACCTCAAAAATACTGCTATTGCTTTCGTGTTCATTCTCTGCAGTCAAGGGAAAGGAAACAGAATCCAAATCTGGATCCAATTTCACAGAAGTGATCTTATTCTCACATTTCATCTCATCAGCAGTCACAAAAACTACACTGTTTTCAGACTTTACAATGGAGTCTGCTTTAGAATCTACCTCCGAAGCAGAGAAATTTAAGGACTGGAGAGAGGTGGAATCAGCTTCTTCACAATTCACGGGTGAAATTGACATATAGGATGGCTCACTTTTGATAATTTGAGTCGAATCATTACTGTCAGTCTTCAAGTCAAGCAGTGAGTCCGAGGGTGCTGGGGCAGTTAGCTCGCTACCACACAAAGTAACAGGCATGAACAGAACAGTCTCTGTCTTTGAAAAGCTACCATTAGACACTATCGTTTTTACTTCTGTTGCATTTGTGCCTAACGAAGATACCATATTTACATCATCTGTGTTCTGCAGATCTAAAATGCATTCAGCACTATTTGACAAGTCTGATCCAGTCATAACACCACTAGCTGGTGAACTAAAAACTTGATAATTTATATCACCATTTTCAGAAGGTACTGAACAGGTATTCTTGTCTGACTCAATTCCAGATGAGATTCTAAGTTTATTACCATTGGGTACCTTCAACTCGGAATCACACAACACCGCAGAGGACTTTTTGTCACTTCCGAGTTTGATTTCTGCTTTATCATTATCACAAATTCCTGAGGCTTTAATACTATTGTCTTGAGTTTTCTCTGGAAGGGAAATTGTGTTGTTATTGTATGAATCATCAGACACAAACAAATTAGTTGCACTTTCCGATGTGTTTACAGTTGCATCACCTTGGCCTCCTTCTTGGTTTTTGGTAATACTTTCCATTGCCCTGGATTGCAAGTTCATTTTGGATTCATCACAAGGATTTAAGCTGCCACTATGGTTCAAATAATTATTATTATTGTTGTTGTTGTTGTTGTTGTTGTTGTTGTTGTTGTGCTTTAAACACTTATCAGTGTCCGAATGAGCGTGAGTGGTATCAACATTCCACAACTTAGAAGTGGCAGAAGAAAATTTCTTATGTCGAGGAACATGACACACATTTGTTTTAATACTTCCTTCCTTTTTTTCTACTTTTGGAGGAGATCCTTCTGAGATGGAAAGATACCTTGGAGAGGTTGAATTACCAACTTTTGAGTGCGGAGGCGAACCCAAAGCAAAGGGAGGAGTCGGTGACAATTGTTTAGCTGCTGTTGCTGAAACAGACCCATTCACCCCCTGATCTGGGGACAAATCAGCTATCAGTGGCTCCACAAGAGGTTGGTCTTTCCATAACACGTCAACCACTCGATCAATTATTTGCTGTTTTGATGCTTTGAGTAACGTCTCTGATCCAGGAGTTGACTTCTCAGGTGTACTGGTTTCGGTTGTAGAATTCTCCTCCTCTTTGCAGTCCCTCTGCGGACTCTGTGGTGGTGTTCGCTTGGCATGCATTAGATTGGACTTTATTTTGCTGAAGGCGACATCCCTTTGATCTTTCATTCCATCAGGACTAGCTTTCTGGATGCGGTTCACACGCTTTTCTTGTAACTGATTTGCAGCATGGCTTCGGAGTTTGGTGAATGGAGAAGGATATGTAATGGGCATAGCAACTCGACTGTACTCCTTCAGAGGTACTTCAGGCAAATCCAAGGCAGATGAATCGCTAGATGTTGTGGCAGAACTGCTAAGAGTAGATGTTGCACTGTTTCCCTTCTGATGATAAGTGTCAGAATTTAACTGAAAAAGGAATAAAAAATTTGAATTATAGTTGACTGGTAATTTCCACATATAGCTTATACGTTTTAAATATGCAAAATGGTAATGTGAATTCTCGTATCTATTACATTCGATATTGACTCTCTTACAGGTGTCCAACAAATTCATATACTGAAATTTTCCAACGTCCACAACATTCATTCATGAATTTTTTTTATGACATAGTTTCCCACTTTTATGCAAGTTGCTTAAAAAATTGTAGATATTTTCTGCCCATGTATAAGAAGATGGAAACTGCTCTGAAACATTAAATATCTCTGTATCTTGTATGTAAAAAACATTACATCCATTTTATGTCAAAACAGGATATTTTAACTAACTTATTCCAAAATCATTTCTCTGGTACTCAAGTCTGTACCCCAAAATACCTTTATAAAGAATTTAGAAATAGTCAAAGAAATATAATCCATTTACTCACATAAAAATGCATCTTCAAAATAATCTGTTGTATTAGACAAATGTGACACTGCCCTTATTACCAACACACAGATTTACTGTTTAAAGATCACATGTTATGATACGAAAGGGAGGAGGACATAAAAACATACATTAGGACTACTGGCGAATCTCCATTATTAATCTCATTGTTTTTATCAATGTTAGTAGAATAGAAATTAGATTATAAATACTACAAATTTACCCAGAGAAAATATAAAATCGAAAATTCTCAGATAACTCCATTATTAGTCCCGACAGTCACATATTCCATGACTTTTTCATAGAATCCAATTTTTTCACCTTAATGGAAGAAAAACACAGGGTACAGAATTATCAAGAGTTCATTTTACATGCTTATACAAAGCACATTAAATTCAATTTTTACTAAGTCACACGAATGAGACAGCAAAATGGGATACTATGTAAGGTCTAAAAATAGTTTTAAGTACTCCATTTCCTTACAGTTCGTAAATAACAGTCTTAATATTTTCATAAAGAAAAACTAGACATAGCTTCTTGACCACGTTTGTCTTTGAGCAAATAGCCTAATGCAAAGATTTGAATTTATATTTTGTAATAAGTTAAGATTTCCAAGGGCAACATAACATTCAGTATACTTATCATACATAAATGCACAAAACTGCCATCGACATGAGTTGACGATTCAAGTTTATAGGAAAAAGATATTAAAGGAAGTTCTGTATGTTTGAAATAGTCCTTTATAATTTTGGTCAGATCTATAAACTCCCTTTCCAATTAAACACAAGGTGAACCAAAGATTAATAGTTCTGTAACTATAACACGTGACTTTACGGAAATCAGCATGTGTCTGCTGTATTGTAAGCAGTGTCATATGGAGTTGAGAATTTAATGGGTACAAGCAGTATGAGAATGGACAGAATAACATAAAGAAATATTTGCAAATCCCAATGTTTTATCATTTTTGGATTTTTCCCGAGTTCCTCAGCCTCTAAAGAAACCATAGTTACCTCCCACATGACTGGAGGGGGCAGAGTTTGCTTTTAATTTCTGGGCACATTGGCAATTAGTAATATAGATGTTTACTTATTTAAACAAAAACTGGTTTCATGTGCACATTCTATAATGAAAAAATATCAAAAAACTTTTTGCAAAACAATATTTATATTTTGAATTTATATTTTTATGCCACATACAGGCCAACGTATTATAATGAAATAAACTATTTTATTATAAGTATAAATATTATATAGAACAAAGACTTCCAATACTTGTTCTAATTTTTAAGTTTTCAAATGAATAGTCTTGAATTTTTTTTTACCCATAGCTAAAAATGCTGTAATAACTTAAATTCCAACATATGTTAGTGAAAAATTGAATAATATTTTAAACAAAAATCGAGTCATATCAAAAACAACGATTTTCTGTATCCTAAAAAAATTGAAACTTCTACAAAACAAACCTCAATTGACCTTTGATCTTCCCCTCCTGGTAGTGCTAGAGCTTGTGAAAGGCATGAACTCATTGCCTTTGTCTCTGCGTATTTAGACAGTGCTCCAAACCCCTATGCCACTGATGCCAGTGCACCATGGCGATTATCTTGAAGTACCCCCCTTAATTTCTTGGATGAACATTTCAATGTGTACTTCATGTTGCAATCATGTTTGAAAACTGCTAATTCCTGCAATTTTCATTATCAGCAGTCCTACGAAAATTGCAGGTGGGATGTCAGAAATTAAAACATCTATTTCTCAATAACATTGTCTGAAAAATAGACAATTTTTGGAAAAAAAAAAAATGCTATATTCTGAGATACTTGTGTACTAGCTCCCCCTCAACATTTTGTAATTTATTTTTACAATAAGGAGGAGGGGGGCTTATATTTGAGAAAATATGGTAATTGTGCAACACAAAAACTTACCTCATTTGAAACACTGGTCTGCCCAAAACTGGTTTCGCCAGGCAAGTTGTACTTTGGAGGGGCACTGCTGTTATCAAGCAAAGCCATCGTCTCTTGCAGGTACCTCTTCTTTGGGGGTTTGGGCACAGTGGGAGATGTAGGGGGGTTGGGCACTGGCGGGGTCGTGGGCGTTACAGGCACAGATGCAGCAGGAGGGGTTGGTGTGTGCGGCGTACTTGGCAAAGAGGCAAGCAGGCTGCTCAAACCACCCATTTGGCTCTCATCTGAAAAATAACAGATACTTTTGTCCATCTGTCTTCGAAGTTGGATTTTACAATTTGCACTAATGGAATGTTTTGGGATATTTTTCTTTACAAATTTTGATTTACAAAGTTCACGAAGTCGGAATGTTGCAACTACACAAATTTTGTATCACCCAAAATTAAAGTGATGCTTCAACAAACGTAAACAAAGAAAACACCTAACGGTGGAAATAGAAAAGCTAAAACAAAACATTAGTTTACTAATTCATTTCAAATAATTATTATAGGTAAGTACTACAAAAGTATTGAGAAAATGAATGAGGGATGGATTAAAACTTGATAACATATTAATTTAAAAGAATCTCTAAAAGAAACTCAACCAACATTCTTCCATTGTGGAGCTTTTGATCTCATCCAATACCAGTTCTATATAATCCATGAAGAAAACATGATAATGTAAGCTCTTTATTTAATTTTTCATTAACTGAAAGGTTCTAGTTTTATTTTTATACAGATGTTCAATACCTCAATATTATTGGGGGCTGCATGGTTTGATCACACACAGGGTTTTATGAGTTCGCATTGCAGTTTTAATCTAAGCTCTGATTATCTCATCTGCAACCCCAGAAACATATTTAAGCCCTGTTACATAACTAGAGACCGGATTTTTATGTAATACATATTTTGCTATTCCCACCCCAAACCAGCAATTTCCCCTGCATAACTACATGCTGTCTACTCGAGGTACTTCTACATGAAGATGTGGTTGAAGTTTTCACAGTCTGATGCACCTACTTCAGTTATCTCAGTGGGGGAAGTGTGCATCAGAAACTGAGATCATTTTTGTAGATGTGAGAAGTATCATTCATGCCGTGTTTCATAACCTCTAACTTTAATTTCTGAGAAACTTTGTAGTCTTGTAACATTTCGATGAGAATGATGCAAAGTGCAGTGATTGATTACTTGCTTGCTGATCGCAAATACAACCAGTTTGTATTATGGCTTCTATTGCGTCTAGTCTGTCTGCAAAAGTATGGTCCTGAATAACAATAGATGAAGCTTCGACAACTGACAGGATCGTACAAAGAGTGCATCAACTTGTGCTCTCCAAATGGTTTTTAAAATTTTTGTATTATTTCTAAAATTCATTTAGGAATTATATTTACAATGTAATTTCATTTAATGTGTTTTATAAATAGAGTATTTTAATATTACATATTACATCCCATTTTACATATTTATTGCATATTCTTGCCTTTATTATGACATATTTATGTACATATATTGATGTTTCTTACTACATACAGTCGACTCCATTTCTAGTGAACTCGGATATACTGAACCAGTATAGTAAAGCCTTTGGTCCCATTTCACTTACATTATAAATAAGCCTAAAAAGTTATAGTGAACTTGAACCTCAGTTCTAGTGAACATAGGAAATACATACTGGAGATGAATTCCCTCCTGGAAAAGGATATATCATCTCAGTGTCACAAATTCCAGTACTAGGCAACTTAACATATCATCGGCATAATCGAAGAAGTCTTCTCTGAGGTGAAGGTAGTGGACCTGGAATGGGACCTTACTGATGACCTTATGCCATTCAGTTTCACTGCGGCAGCAGTGGCGATTGCATGCTTCAGTTTCAAGTTTGGTGTTACTTGATATTCCGCAGGATATAGCGTGTTGAGTTCTACGTAGGCAACAGGAAGCACGCGGCTGCCACAGCCTCATAGTCTTAGTTAGCCCAGTTTCATTAGCCACTAGCATCACCCTGCCACCGAAAGGGTGTTGTATGTTATTAGGTGAGTAAAACCAAAGAAGCCTTCCCGGAGAATGGGTCGTTGATTCAACAATGCAAGGGGCTTTGACGGGTATCAAAACTGCATTACAAAACTTTGAGACAGAGGACAAGGCAGAATCAGATAAGATCAGAGGACAATGCCAAGTTTGGAGAGCATGAACTCTGGAGAAGGATTTCAAGAAATTACTAATGAATAATGCACAAAGCATATAAATAAAAATAAATTATTTATATTTTTATATTTATTTATTATTTTTATTTATTTAAAGATATTGAAAATTTAAGTTTGTCCTTTTAATGTACTTCGCTGTATCTCTATATTAATAAAATCACTCATTCTGGAAAGATTCTATTTAATTATGACATCATTGCTTATAGTGAACGTCTGATATAGTGAACCAAAAACGTTAGTCCCCAGAAGTTCGTTATAACCAGAGTCAACGGTATTTTTCTGGTTCCTATTCATAACTTCTCTCTGTACTTGTCTCCCGATTTTTGCCACATATAGCGAGGTAAGCAATTCAACATAATCTGTTTCACATTTTGAAATTTCATTTTTATAAAACCGGTTCTCTGACTAAATTTAATTTGATAGACTACTTCCATTACTCTATCCTTTAATAATGTCAACATCTCATCAATGTTACCACAATTCTAAGCTTACCTGCCAATTTCCCAGGGGTAATGGGCCCGCATGTGACTTGGCATTCTAGCTTGTGAGGTTTATTCTGATTGGAGGGTCTGGTCATCAAAGTCCTAAGTGGCGGTGCAGGCAGCTTGTACCACTTGAAGTCTGGATTAGCTTTCAAGAAGGCTTCTTTGTACTGAAATACAAGAAATCAAAGATGCAGCACAGCACTTCCCAATAAAATGTGTTCACATGAATTTTTGAAACTAATGCCTTCAATTTCCAACACACCTAGGTTTATGTTTTCAATTTTTTTTATATAAACACGGTACATTTGAAAACAAAAATCAAAATGGTATTTGATAAATAAATTGAATTCTAAATAACTGAGACAACATCTATCAGTACAAAGTGAGGAAAAAATAAGAAATTTAATAAAATTTTTCAAAATTAAAAATATATTACATTAAAAAAAATGATTTGTAACCTGGAAAGTAAATTAATAAGATCAAATTACGATAAATAAACAAATGAAAAATTACAAATTTTAACGAGATAAGTATAACGTACCATCTCAACTCTCTTCAATAATCAGCAATGAAGTTGAAGACAAAATTTTTGGATTTTCATGTGCAAAACTAGATCATTGATGGCATGTCCTCTCCCAAGAATGAACACAAAATAAGCAATTGGAACACTTGCTTTACATCATGTACAAAGGTATTACTGCTAAATCATGCCATTCTTAGGACGTTGAAAATACAAGTTCGTCAAGTATGAAAGTTATATTTTAATCAGTAAGGATAAGATTCTTATACCGTGAAGTATTGTTCAACCCATGAGAGACAAAAACATCAATGAAATCAAAACAGACTGCTATTGTCCAACAGATTTTTCACTGCTTTTCTTCGCTTCATGTCACGTATTTTTATGTGAATTTCAGTATATTTTTTCTGATTCCCACCAAACACGCAGATTAATAAGGGATCTATGATTTTGGTTTAATTTACCAAACAATGTTATAAGTTGCATATTTAGACTACTTGTTAAAATATTCAGATTCATACAAGCTTTTGTTCAATATATACTTGCTCTTTAAAATTACTTCTACAGATGACATTGTCTTGAGAAACCTTCAAATATTGAAAAATAAATTTTTACGTAATATAGGGTTCTTTTCAATTAATTTCATGTTTAAGAGAGTAACAAGATAAAATGTGACCCGATCCCAAACTGTAACTGTCGGGAATTTATAACAAACTTTACTATATTACTCTGTCATTTGTTATCAGTTTACTTACAAAGTCTCAGGACTTAATACCATGTATAATTTCAATTTTTCCAAAATATGAATAGGACTATTCAATTGCCAATCCTTAATTATTTTTATGTAATGCAATTTATCAATTGCAACAATTTTGAAATATCTGTATCATCATGTAATCAAATTCTTCGTTTATTAAGCAAGTTGTAGTCTATTGAATAATTTTTCTTAACTTCTTAAATGCTTTATTGTAATGAAATCATTAAGCATAATTGTTATTTAGAATCAGTCCTCATTTTGTTAATGTGTAAGTTTTCTTTTGTAATCTCACCTTTGCAATTATAGAATAAAAAGATTAGTAATTTTCAAGGACAAACACTGGAGTGCTTGTATTTACCTTAAATGTCTAAGATACAAATAAAGAGGTGGGAAATATATAAAATGCTGATTCATCAGCAATAGTATCTTATTTACAAGTCAGATAAAATTCCACAAGCAAAAGTATAATATTCATTACAGAAACATCTGGTAAGTTAAAGAAGTCCCCAAGTTTTCTTGGGGATGAGAATTATACAGTTAAATATAGGTTTTATTTATCAGTCGCTCAACTTTAGGTGAATATAGCAGTATGAGTTTCTAAGAACTTATACAGATAACCAAACAATAAATGAAGAGAAGAAAGTGGACTCTGGTATAGACAAAACTACAGGGCACCAAGGGAACCACTCAAAACTACATTCCAATCATAAACCTGACAGTATACATCTTCTATTAAACCACCCTTCAATGAAAATCCATCAGTTTTCTTTTCGTGAAAAACATTCAACCACTACCATTGCTGATTACCTCAGATAAGGTCACACAAACAAATTAAAAATTATTCTGAATAAATGATCGGAAACACACCTTCGTTCTCACCTGCCTAGCAAGCTCTGTGTAACTAGCCTTGTCTGGAGGATCAAGATTGGCCCACCACTCTCCTAAAATCTTGGTGATGGACCTATTCTCTAAGTGGGGATATCGGTCTCTAACTACTGCGCGGTGTCGCTTGCAGAAGATGAGGAATGCGTTCATCGGTCGCCGGGCATGATGCGCCGGTTCTCCTGCCGGTGGGGCCGGGACTGCTACGTTAGCTGCTACAACTGCTGCGGCTGTCGCCGGAGCAGAGATGTCGTTGCCTCTAGGAGGCACTGATGGGCTCTCTGCACTGTCTATGTGTTCTTCCTCTTCTTCCTCCCGGGCAATTGTCTCCTCTTCGCCTCTGACTGCCTCCGTTTCTTCTGACGCGGTAGGATGCTCCTGCTCAGCTTGGCCTTCCTGCAAGCAACACACAATACTTAGTGTGAAGTGTGTATACGCCAGAAAAATCACGAAGATTCTAAATTAACTTACTAGAGATGGTGGTAAAACCTCCATTACTCAAAGTTTGACTATTCTGGAATCCAAATATTCAGTCTATTTTATAATATTGTAATGGATATGATCGAATGACAAACACAGGGCAAAAAAGTGTGACAGTGACATCATTCCAACCTTATCTTGAGAGGATTTAAATAACTTAGGCATTTGAAATACAGCACAGGAAATTAGGATAAAAATAAAAAAGCCAATTATGCAAATTAAATTGTAATATTTACTAAATTCTTTTTATGTGAATTACTTAATATATACATTTTTACACTAAATTATAACACATTATTTTTTTTACATATTTATTCTTGATTTACTAATTAATAAACATTTGAAACAGTAAAAGAAACTTAGAAATTATCTAGGGGCTTTGACTAATTTATAAATAGTCGTTTCAGGCAAAGTGTATTTTGACATGAAAGTTCGAAATTCCAAAAATGAAAGATTTGGTGATTGTTAAACAATATATAAAAAATCAAAAACCCTGTTATAAATATCCCAATTACAACTTATGATAATATATCAAAACTAAAATAACTTAATTTATATCTATTCCTGCAGATTCTGTCATTGCATATTTTCAAGCATGAAGCAAAATTTTCATTATCAAACCTAATCATAATTTTCTAAGTACCGTTCATGTTTTGTTTTTCATTGTATTTTGAGTATTTGGCATTTATTTCTAGGAGCAAGGAAAGTTAAAAGCACTGTTACGCTTTAATCACTCCTGGTAATTAGATCTCGTTTGAGTCACTGTGTAAAAAGAGAGATCTTTATCTATTTGGATTGCAATTACAATATCTAATATCCGCAATTATCCTGAGTTATTATGCAAGTTGAACTTTTCATCCGCCAAAAATTAAAGAGCTCAATAGAACAAGGGGCTATCCCACATTTTTGGTGAAATTGAGTTATTAGCAGTATATAAAACTTCAAATATTTTTCATTAGTGTAATATAATAAGAATAGCAATAATCATTCTGGTTTGTCTTCTTCCTTTTATGATTTTGAGGAAATGGACGCTGAATTTATTGACTGTCATAGACAATAATATAATCTGATAATCTTTAATGTCAGTGAAGGCTCTCAAAGTATCCACAAAACAACGTTTGACAGACAAAAAACAAGCAGTTGACTCGTTATTTAAATCTATTACTGATATTGATATTTGTAAGTACTCCATGATGAGATTGGGTAAAAATTCGGTAAAAACCAAACTACACCTAATAAATTTTCTAAATACATTTTTAGAAGTGTTTAATCACTTGGATATAATGTTTTTGATGGAAATTTGACTCCATGAGAGTACTGCTGATGAGGAACTCAACTTATATTCATAAAACATCTATAAACATGACAGATATTCATCAATGAGTGACAGGGAACATGGCAGAGGTGATTTAGTTGTTCACCATAAATATAATAGCTCTCTGATATCAACTTATGAGTTTTGCATGGAAAATATTTTTGTTCTATTGAAAACTGATTCTTCTGTTTACATTATTTGTACACTTTATTCCCTCCCCCCTATCTTCGATTGATCGCTACATTGACTTCACCAACACAACTGAATATATTTTGGAAAAACACCCTCATGCTAAATTTTTAATAACCAATATCAAGTTAATAAATGATGACAATAACTCAGATTGCAGTTTTTTATCAAACTTGGATAATGTTTTTCAGACTGGCATTATATTGTATATTGCAACATACCTTAAATTATTTCAATTTATATCTATGTAATCATGTTTTAAATTGTAATGATAAAACTTTGTACTTAATGTATGTTCATGATCAGACATCTCTGGTCCCTAAGTCTGATTACATTAGGCAACCATGCAATGCTTCACATCCTGCACTTGATATTTTATTACCCATTACTCATGAAATTCTGTCTGTAAATCTTCAAGAACAAAGTTGTAACTTTTATCTGACTAATTTTATTGCAATTAATCACAAAATATTAAACTTTGATTTCCACTGTTTATAAATGTTGACATCGTTAAATCACTTCAATTTTTTTATGAGAAAATGTATCAAATCAAAAGACTTATCATCCTCATCGTTTCCCTCTTGGTATTTAATAGAATTAAAATGCATGTTTTGATCAAAAGCTCATTTACACTGGAAATACAAGAATCACTGAGTATCGAGGACTACCTCTGTTCCTCAGCGCTTAAAAACAAGTAAAACCAAACAATCTGAGGATTAGTAAATTATTTAGCTAAAAGTCAATCCTCAATAAATAAAGATATAAGATCCTTTTGAAAGTATGCTAATGTTAAAAGGAATATTCCCAGATTGTCAAACTATGTTTTTCAATGAATTTCATACTCATTCACCACAACAGGTTGTAAATCTTTTTGCTTCATATTTTCAATCTGTGTATATTTCTTATGATGATATTGTTTCTTGTCAGTATAGGCGGACTGATATTGATATTGTTTTGGTGGAAATTGCGCAACATGATATTTGTGAAGCCATAGATAAACTAAAGATAAATAGTTCTTCTGGCACCAATGGAATACCTGCCATATTATTGAAACATTGTAATGCAAACCTGTCCCTACCCTACAATTTTTGTTTGAGAAATCATTACAGAAGGTAGTACTCCTCTAGTTATGGAAGACAAGCTTATTTACTCCTATTTTTGAAAATGATAATCGTTCCAATATAAAAAAAAAAAAAAAAAAAAAATGACAGGCCAATCTCTAAATTGTGGGTGATACCCAAATTGATGGAGAAAGTAAATTCTTTTTTGACTGAGGAGCAACATGGTTTCAGAAAGCGAAACTCTATTCTTACTAACTCAATAACATTGCAACATTATTTACTGAAAAATTTTGACCAGTGAAATCAGATAGATGTTATTGATTTTCAGGTAATGAGGTGGATGATATAGATTTTTTAAAAGGCCTTCGACACTAAATTACTGCATTTTGATTCGTAATCTTAGGTCTCCATGGTTCCCTCTTGGATAGAAAATTATTTGACAGAGAGTACTCAAAAAGCTAATTGTAAATAATTTATATCTAGGAACATTTATGTTACCTCCGGAGTTTTGCAAGGCTTGCAACTGGGGACATTATTTTTCTTGATATTTATCAATGATAAAAAAAAAAAAAAAAAAGCTCCCTAACTTAAAATTCCTATTGCTAACACAAGATATTAGATGCAATTCCTATTGCATACAAGATTGTACTGAGTTACAATCCAATCTCGATGTGCTGAGTTGGTGCGATTTGAAGAGTCTTAAATTGAATATAGATAAATGCAAATCTATGTCAATTACATTAAAAAGAAACATCTATGTTTTTTTATTATAAAATTGGGGAATGTGTCCTGAAATCTCTCCGATTGAGGATTTGGGAGTCATTTATGACCAAAAAATGAAATTTGTTTCACATTTTGAATACATTGCTAATAAATCCAATCAAATGCTTGGTTTCATTAATTGAATGTCGCATGATTTCACAGAAATAAAAAAAACTAAGACCTTGCATAACACATTTTTGAGACCTCTATTGCTTTATGAATCAGAAGACTGTCCTTATTTTCCTGTATCTGCGGACTTGGGGTGGACCAGAACAGGGGCCTCAATTGTGCCACCTGGAAGCTAAATCTGCCTCTGCCAAGAGTAACTTATGAATATAGTAAAACTGCATCAATTTCATGTTTGAGCTCTCCCAGATCTTCTAGACTAATTTGACTTGTTGTTTTTTATGATTTAATTAATGGAAATATTGATACATATAATTTGTATTTTATGATCCCTTGGTCTACACCGGAACGAAGTAAGTGGTATAATGAAAATGCTCCATTTGTAATTCCATTCGCTAAAACAAATGTATATTACTTTGCACCACTTTGGAGGATGTGTTCATTGGTATCTAAAAATTCAATAGATATTTTTGCATCTACGAATAGATTTGTAAAAACATTATTTAAAGACTTTGCTTGAAAGGAAATTTGTGGATTTTTTGGTATATATTATTTTATAAGTTCTCTACTTTTGTTAAATAATTGTAATTGGGCGATTGCTTGTACTATATGAAAAAAGAAATAAAATAAATGTTATTTAAATCCAGTATTAACTTGCATGCAAATGCACTGTGTTTAAAAATTTAAAAATGTACTGATTTATATTAGAAAAGTTCAGATAAAATCCTCAATATCTCAGGACTATGTCAATGTGGGATAGCCCCTTGTTCTACTGCACCCTTCGATTAATGTTTTTAATTTTATTTTTATTTTCATATCAATCCGTTTGTTTTATTTGTTATTGTTCAGTATTTCATATTCAAAAAACCTTTTTTAACTTCAATATTTTTTAATTACCTAAGTATATAAGTCAAAAGGACGATAAGTTTTTAAAATTTATATAATTAAATAAATAAAATATTTCAGTAGGGATTTTGGTAGCCCAGTCTCAGACAAGTGGAACTCAATTTTACTGTGAAATTAAGAAAACAATGGATATTTTAGATAATTTCCTGAACATGGTAATTTGCCTTTGCATTTCACTTCCTATTTTGGTGGAGACAACATGTTTTACCAATTCGTTTTTCATAAAACATATTTACCTAACCCATTGTTAAAATCTTGAACACAAAAATTACTGTTCCTAAAATGTATAAACCATATAGCTATCATTTTAATTACCACTTTAATTACCATTTAAATTACTAATTTATAAATGAGATGCTTGGGGCAAGACAATGGTAAGTCAATCAAAAAGCAAAATTGAGATATTTCCATTTTGTTTCTGGTAGAGGTTGGCATGACAAATAATAACACAACTCAGCTATGTACACAGAAATGCACATCTTTCAATACAATACATGTACTTTGAAGTTGATAATCTGACTTAAAAAATTCTTTCAATTTTCAGTTGCCTCTTCAGTAAAATACATTTAAGGTGTCTTGCCATTATCTGATAGCAAGGGCCTCAATTCACTAATTTATAAAAGTAGTTTAGTCTTTCACACAACCTATACACCACATATAATAAGAAACCAAACAAGAATTTTTAGTTACAGAAAACCTATGAACAAATTTTTGATTATCAATTGAAAAATACTATTTATCAATGATTTTCATTCATATCCATATTGAGAAGCTTGTGAAGGAAGTTATTGAAAAAGTATCAACTGAAAGAACTGGCTCACATGAATTTGATTTTTTATTGCAACAGTCAATACATGCTAATCGAGCCAACACAAATAATTCTTCTATTAAATTAAAATTAAGAGGATAGACAAGGAATATATTATAACATTAACAATAATTTATTATTCAGCAAAGCAGATACCTTCACATACCACTATGCCTAATGGTTGTTTAATACATAATAAGATAGACTTAGTATTCCCACTGGACAGGTGGCCCTAATCATTTTTGAACCAAATTTCCCATTAATTAATACACATTTTAATGTTATTTTTTAAATTGAAAAGTCCATAGTTTTTTTAATATTCTTTTTGAATCTGTTTAATTTTTCAATATTATTAGGAGGCACTGAAGTTTTGTCACGCTTAGGGCACCATAAGATATTAATTTGATTCTGGCTATGCTCGAAAGTGAGGTTTTGTATCTATTAAAGGTCTTCATCGTCTTCTTCTTCCCCCTCAGGGATTAGACCTGTTGGTCTGTTGCAACTCACTGATCACTCCATCTTCTTTTGGGTCTGCCAATGCTTCTTTTCCCTCAAGGTGAGTAGAACAGAAGTTGTTTAGGTAAACATTTTCATCCCTAGTACAGTGTTTTTCCATTTATTTCTATACTCTATGATTTTGTAAATTCTAAGGTTCTCCCAGATGGTCTCACTTTTTGATCACCCTCTTCTTGTTACACCTAGGATCGACCTCAAAAATATCATTTCAGCTACCTGTACTCTTCTATTTGGAATTTAGAACTCAGTTTTCACTTTCATATACACCGCAGGGCAGTGACATAACTTTGTAACATTTTAGTATTGTATCTCTTTGAACTTTCCCTCTAGAGGTTCTTTCAATGGTGACACACAAGTTTGAAAGTCTCGATCTTTCTTCAAAACATCAAGTTCTCCGAGGTTCAATAAGTCATATCCTAGAAATCTAAGTGTTTACTTGTTAAATTATCTTATCTTCTAAAATGAGCTTACATGTGACAGAGTGAAAAACCTTGGAAAGCCATGGACTTGGTTTTGGTGGAAGATATATGTTTTGTAGAGTATGCTGCTTTGTACAATTCAAACAGGGCTCTCGGTATATTGTATTCATTAGCAACAACTAAAACATGGTTGTCTGCAAACAAAAATATTTTAATAAAATTTGTCCCTTTGAAATTATCTTCTATGTTAACATGTACAACAATTACCTCCACTTCCTTATAATGCAGTCAAGGAATATATAAAAAAGTATTGGTGAAATACAACACAATGGTCTAGCCCCTTTGTTAATAGTTTTTTCCGAAAGGTGTCTTGATTTTAGTTTCATGTTGACCCACGTAGCTACATACACATTGTGACATGTATTCCCCTTTCCTCCAATGCATTCCACAATTTACTTCTTCTAACACTATCAAATGCTTTTCTGTTATCAATAAAAGCCATGCAATTGTATTCTCTTCCTTTTTGCTTACGGAAAAAAAAATTGTCTAAGCTACATCTTTCTTCCTAAATCCTGTTTGTTCTTCTGACAATACATTTTCTATGCTGTTTCTAAGCCCACTTACAATTATTTTCATACACATTTTGTATGCTATGTTGTGGTACATCAAGTCATACACATACATTATAAAACTGCTAAAAAGTTATGAAAATCTAAAAACACAAACATTTAAGATTACAAGTTCAAGATAACATGTAAATGCAATTCTTAAAATTTTTAGTCATTTAAGAAGAATATAAATGAATGTGCTAACCTCCACAGTCAAAATGGTAAGCACATCATGATGACCTTTAAATTTGAAGCCTACAAATGTGTTAGTGGCTAATATATGATGTGAGAAACATTCCTTGTGAGAATAAGAGAGAGAGACATTTCAGACATTAAAATATTTTAAAAAAGTATTATAACAATTCTTTTAGTTTTTCCAAAAACAAAATATTCTCCCAAAGCAAATTTGCAAGTTTACAAAATTTATAAAAATCTTATAATGACAAAATAATAAACGTTAAATAAGAAATTTTTTGTCTCTGCAAACTGTTTTCCAATAACCCAATAATAATAATAATAATAATAATAATAATAATAATAATAATAATAATAATAATAATAAAAAGATACAATGACAAACAACCATCTTATTTCCAGGACTCTATTTGATTTTTATGGTCAGACTCATGAAAATAAAGATTTACAATAATAACTTTTGAACTTTGGAGATGTAAAGAAATTACAAGTCAAGATAAGTGATTTTTATTAAAATTTAATTTTTTATTTTCTAAATTATTGCATTCTAGAAATAATTGTAATCCTCACATTTGAGGGGAAAAAAACTGGTTAAAAATAGATTCTTTAAGATGATTTTAATTTCCTACTTATTGAAGTTTTTCTAACCTTTTAACAAATTTCTTATTTTTATAGCATTTACTGATTTCAGATAATTAAAAGTGAATGACCATTTTTAATAAAAATAATTTAACTACATACAGTACTTAGATGAGGAAAGAATTCTGCAGCTCAATAAAATGTGAACTGATTATACTTCTCCTTTGGTCACATAGATTTTTATTAAAATAAATTAAATAACTACTATAAGTGAGAAAAATAACGATGCTTTATTTAATCATGCTATTTATATTATAGTGAAAATCACATGTTTCAAATTAAATTTTGGTTTAAGAAATTATAATCTTTTGTTTATAGATATGAGATTATCAACCTCCATGTAGAAAATAGCAGCAGCAGAAAGACTTTATAGAACAAAATACATATTGCAACATACAAGAATTATTAGCCATTACTGAAATATAAATGAATAAAATTACATGTACCTTTTTGCCTTAATCATTATTTAAAGTCAGTGAAATTCTAATGAAATAAAATTTTACATTTCCAAAATTAATAGAAGTTGTGGAGTTCTAATTAATTAATTGGAAACATTTATAATTAGAAACTAGATTTTGTTTAGTTTTGACAATTTTTTTTGTGAAGTAAATAAAAATTTAAAAGCATTTAATAATGTTTTAATAAATATGAATACACTGGTGCCAAACTGGGTGAAAAGTGAATTAATTTTCTTAACAACTATTTCAATAGATATATCAATCCAGATTAAAAAAACCTCATGCCTGTCTTCAAATGGAACCAACATTCCTTTATCTGATACAAAATATGCAGAACTTTAACATCAATTGTCAAATATTAAAAAAAAATTAAAGACATCTTAACTCATATTTTCTATCCAAGAATGTTATTGTAATTTATATCAACAAGTGGAAGAGCTTATGATACTTAAATGATGATAAATCCTACCATTGATGTCCCCAAACATGACATGGTGAAATTGCACAATCATACATCATCAGACAAAAGAAAGAAGGCATACTATAGAGAGCAATACATAAAATAAAATTATAGTTAACATGCATAAAGTTATATGCTGAGAAGATATTTATTCATTAATTTATGTATGTCATACAGAAATAATCTAAGTATATGTTAAAATGGTAAACATACATCACTTGCTTTTATCTTAGACCCCACACAAATTGATAATTATTCTTTATGAAAATAAGTTATGATATATAATTATAATATTGTGTATAATCATGTAATATGAAATATTAAATGCATTTTCTTCAAATGTGTAAAGTTATTCTACATTTATAGAAAATAGAATGTCATTAATCAATTTTGTTACCATTATTACAACAATATTATTTTAAACTACTGTGCACACTTACCATTACTGATGAAAAATTGAACTATTGTGTCATTTCATAATTATTGTGAATAAAAAGAGGGTCATAGAAGGTCATCCAACAGTTTTCCTTTTCACAAAATTTTAACTTAATGTTGCTTTGATTTACGATTTCAAGTTAATACACTAACACAAAAATTTAAAAGGTTCACGAATAACACGCAAACACAGAGCATCTTCACCAGTTCAATGCATAAACCTTATCTGATCGACGTAATGACATTCCCCGTGAGCAAACGTTTGGATACATTTGACACTTATTCCGTATTTGACTGATAAACCTTCCGTATTTTCGCACATTTTACGTAACGAACAACGTTTGTTCAAATCAATTACAATTTCAAAACCAAATATCTGTTCGTGCACGCCGCAAAACATAGCAACACTCACCATCTCACCTTCACGACCTACTTTTTTAAAAACCATCGTCACTTTCTCATATAGACATTTCTGTCCCACCGTGACATGACAGATGTTTTTGAAATCTAGTTACTAAATAATTGTTCGTTTGAAATAAATACCCATCATGAAAAATGAAAGTATAACTAATGTGATTGACCGTATTTCCCTGTCACGTTTACACATAAACCCAGACAGCCGATACCATAAAGTGTTACCCAAGGTTATTCCATCTTTCAATAAGCAGTTGTTGTCCATACCGCATCGTCCATTTCGCGCAAGGATTTCTAAATGAAATTTTAATGCACAAGTTTAAAATAAACGCGGAACATGAATTAAATACTTCAAACAATCACCCTATAACGCGTATGTTCACCATTACTTCGTATTTCACTGTAAAATTATTAAAATACTTACGGATTTCTTCACCGCTTCACTCGCCATATCACCACATAATGCTATGACGTCACTCGTGTAGTCAATCGACATTCCTAAAGACTTGGCAACACACCTTTAACTTCAAAATGTACACTTTTCGCGAGATATGTCATGTTCTTTTTTATATTTCCAGTCATCATTTACAATCCGCACTATTTTATGTCATGAATGTTAAAATAGAGCACTTTTGATTTTAAACATCATGGTCTCAAGCCAGTCTCGCGTTCCCGTGATCAGCTGGTACGGCTCGCGACATCCAATCCCAATCAAGGAAGTTTCACTGCTGCTGTCAGATTTGCGGAGATTTTAATTTCGCGACTTTATTGTCTTGTTGCAATAATGAGTACCAAATGAGTGTGCTTGATGCTAAGATACCTAAACACTTTGCTAAATACATCAGTAGAGCTCACAATATAATCATACTCACATAACCTCTATTTTCGTGATTTTGTCGTTGTTTTGTATGTGACACGTCGTGCAAAATTAAAATTCCGTTAAAATGTTCTGCACGGCAAACCAAACATTTACCATTATTAAGCGGTATATTCAAAATTGGAGAATAAGATTTTCGTAAAAATGACAGTAGCTTTATCATTAAGCAACTACAATTGTAATGATGTAAATAACATAATTTCGTTAACAGCAAAGGTTTGGCGCATCGTACAGAACCCCGATCTTAAAGAGAAACAAATGTGTTAGTTTCGATATTTTCCGTAGTTCACTTGTATAAAACTAAGTCTAAAAACAAAATTAATGATAGACTATATTTGGATGTAAGCGATGAGAAGTGATTGTTTTATTGTTATAGTTTAATTGTATAAATTAATAGGCATTCAAATGCTATACACCACGTTATTGATTTTTGCCAGGATGGTCAGGGCATTGTGCAACAGCAAGTGAACAATGAAATCTGCAAAACTTTGCAGATAGGTATAGAGTCTTTCGCAGAGTATGTGCCTGGAGCAGCATGAATAATGACTGCCATCGGAACGAACATCTTTGAAATTATAGGAGACAAGACGCACGGAACTTTTCCATAAAATGATAATATAAAGTTTACGATTCGCACAGAGATAAGGATTGAGGAGCAAGTCGCAAGCAGGTACACAAACGACGACGAGACCGATTCGACTTCCATCGCTCAATCACTCTGCATCACACATTTATCTTTTCGCCAGCTCCAGCAATAGAACGCGCCCGAATACGTAATCAGCTAATTTCACGGATAACGGACAAGTCATTCCTTTTTTTCGTCTCGCTTCACGTCCTCTGTCTTCTTATTCTTCTTCCTCCTCCTCATTCGTCGCGATAATTTTATTGTTGACAAACGTTTGCCCGCGTTTCTCCTTCTCCTTTTGGCTTCCCCTACCACGCTGCCTTCCCCCACCTTGGCAACCCGTCCATCCCCCCCACCGGCCCGGCTGGTGCTTCATTCGGCCCTGACCTCACGGTCTGCTGTGCAGCTTGCGGTCCGTTTTGCGTTGTCCAGCTGACCTACATTTTTCGGGGGAAAGGACCCGTGTGGTCGACCTCTCGCCTTGTCATAAAAACACGCGCGTCTTGTTATTCCAGAAAAGCGTGGCGCGAAATCTAAATTCTACACGGGGCTTTGCACCGCTTGTGTGCATGCGCGGTTTCGCTTATCTCCGCAAGCAGGTCATTGGCGGCGTCTCATCATTGCAAGGTCACCTTGCGGTGGGAGGAGAAAGGGAAAGAGAAGGCGAAGGAGAATAGAGGAGAGGGAGCGATTATGACAACGCGGTACGACTTCGACGTGGGCGCGAAGTCACTTGTGCGTGAGTACTTGTGTCTTGGGGACGAGCCGCAGTACGACGTGCTTTGAATTGGAGTCACTAACGCGGCAGAGATCGCGCAAAATCGAAGATTGCTGTTGGAACGAGTCAGTGTTTCGCAGGAGGTTCGCGAAGGGTACACGGGAAAGACGCCAACGCATACGCTATACAAAACAAACGCCATTTCAAAATTGTCGTAATGTAAGGCCTTTGGTTTTTTAAGACATGCACTGACAGATATATGAACGGATAAGAAAGAAATCGTGAATTAATATTTTCGTAATTGTATTTGAAATTTCGGCAGCTTGATCCGGTTAGTTTGATTATTTTGTAATAACATATCTATGGAAATTTAATTAATATGTTCTGCTTTCAACCTTATGTTGTTATAGTATAATAATGATGCCTAGATTATTGGAGTGAACCCAAACTCCCGATGTGACATCTTAGAATTACTGTATCGTTGAATGATTGTCTAAAAAGAATCAAAGAATCTTACACTACGTCGTATTTAAAAGATAAAGGATGACTCTAAATTTAATTGATTACAAAATTCCGCTTTCGGGACATAGCATTGTACTTTCTCCAACAATATTTTTCGTTGTAGGTAATTTCAGGGTCTTAGTTGCGTACTTCAACTATTTCATAACGCAGCGTTCATTATGTAAGGCGCGAGCATAGGAGGTGGGAGCATAGGGGCTTTGGAACCCCTGAAAATTTCTAAAAGCAAATTAGGTAGGACTACGTAATAAAACATTTTTATTTACATAAATATGATCAATTTCTGATTTCCTCCTTTTTTAGCTTGATACTTTGTGGAAATAATGCACGATTTTTGGGAAAGAAACATTCCAAACAATCTGGCAATTCTGCAAATGGTTCAACATAAAATCAATGATTATTTGTTAATTGATTTTTTTATAATTTTAAATTCTTAATATTCAATGTTAATGTTTTTAGGAAAAATGTATACTGTGTAACTATAATTTCAATAAGTTTCAGCACTTGAAAATTGGGGCGCAAACTGCTCGTCGTGTTGTAATTTTTTAATAAAATAACAAATGCCCACTAACAACTTGTGTATTATTAACCCCTCAAGACCTAAGGATTTACATACGTTCTTTATCAACCAAGAAAAACATAACATTTTAATAAAAATTTCAATAGAAAAGGAGGTTAAAGATGCCTTGCCCCCTTTTATTTTTGTAAACTTAACAATTATCACGTAATGATAATATAATTATAATAATTTGTGTAATTAATGACATAATGGCAATAATATTTCCCTGAAAAATAGGACCGAATCATTTCCAAACATTAAAACTTAAGTTTTATTTAGCATTAGTATGTTAGGAGAAACGACGTTATACAGGGTGCACGGCCAAAATCCGGACAAATTGAACATTTTTCTTTACACTATATTTTTTGTTGTAACATTGAAAAAGTTAAACAAATGTTTTTTACCACGGTAATGTATAGGATCATATGAATAAAGTTTATTCTATAGTATCCCCACTTGCTTGAACGACCGCCTCCAATCTGGCTGTCTGAACCGTCGCAGGCACGGTGCAAGGCATTACGGTCCATTTCGGCGAATGCTCTTCAATAGCGACTCGGAGAGAAATGCTACGTTCGGGTGTCCGACTTGTTCTGTCCACTCTCTCAACCACGCTCCATACATTTAATAATCCAACGGATTTAAATCTGGGCTGTTGGGAGGCCAGAATTCCTTCGACCAAACATGTCGATATTGTCCGATAACCAATCTCTGCACCAAATGACTTCGTATGGCGGGCGCACCGTCTTGCTGGAACAACATATGGCCCTTCCAAATGCTACGTTGTCCATCCACGGCTTCACAACGTTAGATAAGACTATCCACATAAACTGCTGCCTTGGTCACATTTACCCCTTTGTGGAAAGAAATGAGGTGGCATAAACATCACCTTCGGACGATTAACAACTCCTAGCACGTGCACATTGGCCGGAAATTTTGTTCTCGATACCAACAGGACATCCTCAGGGTCGGGGCAAGCAGCGGTTCATTCTTCGATTAATTTTTGCGCTCTACGTAAAAATTTTCGTCGTCGGAAAAAAAATCTGATTCGTCCAGCCGCCTTGTTCCGTAAGGAGCACAAAAAAGAATTGCACCCGTATCAACTCTCCTTCGTCCTTGGCGCGCTTTCAAGAAAAGCCATCCCTTGTCGAACCCTATTGATGTGTAGGACTTGTAAACCGGAGGTCTTCCTGGACACAGATCGTGACGCATAGTTGTCTCACTTATTCCCGACAAGCGAACGCAATTTCGGATCGATTGATGCCTGGATCCTCAAAATCCAGTTCTTGAACGCGTTGATAACTGCTCTGGCGTTCCTGACTACGCGCTCCTTCGAGTGCACTTTTTTCTCGCGGGTGGTTAGGAGACCTTCCTCTGACTTCTCCGACTCCTTGCGTATTTTGACACGACATCATACACTGTCGATCTCGGATATCGTAAGGAAGCTGATAAATCTCCGTCGCCTGAGCGACCAGCGCGACTTACTTTCAATTATCGTTGCTCTTCGATATGTATTTCGCTTTCGTCTCAACATTGCGACTGTTTTGAGTTATGTCTGCTTAGTAAGATGGGCTATACACGATATTCATGTAACAATCGCGGACACTACTGGTGGCATAAAAGCGCGGGAGATTCAAATCTAATTTTGTCCGGATTTTGACCGCGGACCCTGTAGACATAATATCGTTTAAAATTCATAGTAGGTACTTTGACAGTTAGTTTTTTTGAACAGGAACCTCACATTACTGGCACATTTTTTCAGGAATCAAATATTAATTAAACTCGATGGTTACCATGGAAATTTTGTGGAAATCCATATGAAAGGGTAAATAGAAACAATCTTCCAAAATAAAATATGATTTTTACACTAAATGCAGATCTATCATACATGTTACGAAGGATTTTACATCCTCAGCGCTCCCAATCTTTTATCTCTCCGTATCTTCTACTTTGTAAAGCGAAATTAGTGAAATTCATGGCGGCTTGGTGGGCGAGATGTTAACTTTCTTGCCTCTGAACCTGTAGAGTGCGGGTTCTATTCTTCTGAGAGGCATGATCGAAGGGTGGAAAATCATACAGTGGGAATTGCATGCGTCTGTCATGTAAAGGAACCTTGGCAGATGCCAGACAAAATTAAATGCCTCTGGCGATTTCCCGTCCTGACGAAATCTCACTACCAGAGAGATCCGATATAGTTAACTTGAACCGACATCAGGTGGTGAACATTGCATTGAGACGCCCATAGGACGCGCCTGCTCAAAAGAAGGTCCCCTAGACGACCTGTTTCTAGCAGAAGACCCTAGGTCCACGCTGGGGGCAGACGCCGAACTCACGGGTGCGAAACTTCGGGAAATGTCCTTGTCATACACACGTTTCGTAAAATAACACTTCATGTCTTCCGTGACAGGTTGAGCGCCAGTAGTTCCGTTATATTGAGGATGGGTTCTTACTTACCGTCAAGTATCCGTTGAGCCCCCCAGACGGCTGCATTTGTGTTGTAAGCTATGCCGTACATCACTTATTTTTCTGAAAAACACCGTCTTATGAACTATTAATGTGATGTTTGAAGACACGAGCCGTCACTGCCTTTAAGCCATAAAAGTGAAAATCTAATAGCACTAATACTCCTTCGCAGGTTTGTGAAAGGGTACTGAACTTGACTTATCAAAAAATGTATCGGTCAACGTTATTACTTACTATAAGAGGCGACAAAGATAAATAACTTCTCATTTACTTAGACTTTTAAAGAACCTATAAAAGACTGAAATATTTCGTAATAACTCATTAAAAACTAAAATATTAAACCTAAACGCCCCAAAGAAACGGTTCTGACATGGTAATCTACAGGATGAGATCTTTACATTTTTGCTGGTTTTCCTTTTCATTTTAATTCATTTCCCATTCAAACTGAGATCCACTCGAGCTTCATTGTTGCTGGCCGTTGTCGTGTACCGCGGGGTGACGTCGAGCAGGACAAGATGAGCTGGGGGACGTGGTAATGGGAACTAATGCTGAGCTGGGAGACAACAGTGAGGGGCGATTACTGCATGAGATCAACCAGGTCCTAACAGCGCTGATAGGAAGGAAAGACAACGGCGGGGCGGTGCCATTGCACAGTGTCGATGGTTGAACTGAGGGTAGTCAGCGACTCCTATAGTAGCATCCGCTCAAAAATAGTCAATTCTATCGGAAGAGCACTAACGTGAGTGACGAACGAACGGACGGATGTTACTCGGGCTATTATAAGAAAAAAATGTATCGTCAAATAAATTTTATGTCTGTAAATCCGTCTGATGGAACCGATTTAACCTTTAATAATACTTGTTCTATAAGCATGACATGGGACATTCCATTATCCAAGAACAAAGTTTTTATTAACCCACCAGCTAAAAGACATGCCAAATCTGCAACAAAATGTGTATGAAATGATCAGAGAGAGAGAGAGAGAGAGAGAGAGAGAGAGAGAGAGAGAGAGAGAGAGGGTGAGGGCGAGTGGAAGAGGGCGGG